TTTTTGTAGACATTTGCCTGTTTGCAAACAGAATAGATTTCACAACACATTCTATCTAAACTAATTTCCTTATCCAATGAAGAAAGTTAAGCTGCAAAATTAAATTGAAAATAATTCAATCATTTTGAAATAAACGTTATTAAAACGAACGCATTGGTAACTCAGCGGTCAGGCGAGAGCGAATGCCGCTAAATTTCAGCCAGTGACGAAAACCATTAATTGCAATTTAAAACGTCGCTTTACCGAGAACTCGATAATGAAAAATGTAGAACGAAGCTAAACTAAGTATTTTAAGAATTTCGTTAATACTTTGATCTCAAGCAACCGTTGCAATTTTATGGAGTTTTTTAGATTGTTATGGTAACACTCGTAAGTCAAATCGAAATAATTCAAGATTGTGTTTGTCAATTGTTTTTGTATTTTTGCAAAGGTGTTTAGGCAATGTAAATAAAAAAAATACTTAAACATATATGTACATTAAGCTTACAAACTTTATTTTAATTTCGCGGTGCTATGAGAATGTGTGAAGACATAAAATGTGGAACACATTATTTAAACCAACAAATTGTAAGCCAGGTGTTGAATAACGAAAATTTGTTTTCAGATTTAAAGGTTTTAATTTATTTTTTTACTATATTGGGTTATTTATGTATGTCGTAAGATGTGAACGCATTATTCATTTATTCAACATTTTAACAATAAAAAACATACTAATATTGTAAATGCTAAACGGATTTCAATGAAATTAAGTATAGATAGAGGATAGCCTGAGAACAAATAGGCTACTTACTCACTTTTGTTTTGTTTTTAATTCCACGCGGACGGAGTCGCGGACGACAGCTAGTAGGATATAATTGAAAAAAGTAGACTGGCCGTAGAGAAGAAAAGTTCGATTGTCAATGGCGGGCAGTATGACGCTCAAGAGAGGTCTTGTATTGAAAAAAAATGTTTTCTTTTCAGTGTATAAGTGCTCATTTAACTATATTTCGCCGAAACCCTTTTCAAGCGCTAGGAAAACGAAAAAAAAATGAATAGCTAAAATTCATTTTCCACAAGAATTTCATTATTCTCTGACTGCTTATTGATATGGAAGGCGGTTCTGTGGCACGCTTTATTAAGACATCGTAAAATGTGAGGCACATTCTTGAACGCGACAATATGTAGGCCATTCCAGTGGCTCCACTACAGAGAAATGGCTTCCCAATTTACACGGAATGTTTTAAATGAAATATTAATATATTAAGTAATTGTAATAAATATGTAGTTATTCTTTCTTTTTATTTTGTTTAATGTTTACTTATTTATTTAATACTTTAGCACAAATAATACAATAGGAAACTGAAACTAAGTTATTACTAGATTTGCGCAAAGGCGGCAATATTCGTGTAGCAATATTTTGTTTTTGTGTAATAAAGTACCATAATAGTAGTCTTGAATTCCTGTGAAACAGCGGCATAAAAACATTTTTTTTAATCTCCGAGACATCGAGTTTGGCGGGACTTTCACTGGAACCCTCCGCTGAACAATGTGCCAGCTGGGTAGCTGATATGGTCGGGCACATTGTAGGTTTTTTATTCTGCCATGTTAAAATAGCTGCCGACCGATATTTCCGGAACGGCTGGATCGATTTTGGCGAGATTTTGATAATAGTTGATACACTCAGAAACATTAAAGACGACCATTTTTAATAACACATCAACGAAGTTTGCGAGCGACCGCGAATGATATAAGTTAAATTTACAAATAGAAATACCCTCGCACAAACACCATAAACGTTGTTATGTAAATTTTGTTGAACAGCAAATAAGGATTATCATCATTTAAGCTTTAATTCAAAAGCTTTAAGCCATTAACAGAATAGAAGCTACGCACGTGGCGCGCCAACACTTATCCCGTAAGCGTACTTAGCACGAATACGTTTGCATTTGAAGCAATATCGGATATTGCGAGCCGTTTCAAACGCTACAACGCTGCCCCAATAGAATATCCCTATTTCTGTATTTCGAAATTCAGACGAGATTACTTTGTCTAACACCGCTATAATTATGAACTAAGATAAGCTTCTATTAATCTTGATCATTATCCACCTATCAGTCAAGACAAAATCAGCTTGTCTTTAATAATAATTTCAGAGTAGGTAATTCAAACCCAGACACATGTCATCTCTTTCAATCTAATTGAAAACAACGAAGATAACCACAGAGTAAGAATAAGACAGTGAATACTCATGGATAAGTCCAACTAAAGCATCTCCTCCATCGATTAAGGTTAGGTAACGCATCTGCAATTGCGCTTGTCTATGGGCAGCGGTCGCTTAGCCATTTCGGCGGTTTCAGATTGTCGCTTGTTCGTTTGCCACCTTATGATATTTAAAAAAACTAAACCGTTACTCAGACAAGGCTAATTAAAAGAGGCAAGGTTCTAATTGTAAAACCGTAACTGGTGTTGCATCTACTTCGGAATTCTCCCCTAACCTGTTGACCGTAATACCTTCAAGCAGCGTTTACATTGCGAAGTAGGCCAGCCTGTGTTTGAAGTGCTGGAAAGATTTCCATGCTTTATGATAATATTTATTTTCTTTTATTTGAATGCCTTACTGTGCAAATAGCGTATCAGTCGTCTTTGCAAGTATACTTAGTGTGTTTTTTTTAATTAAACTACAATGACAAATAATAAGAATTTATTTTCTTCGATCAGTGGGCTTATGGAAACAGGTTTAAATTTCAGAAAAAAATAACAATAAAAAGACTTACCACCCACCGCAGGATGTAATTTATCCTTTACTCAACCAAAATAAATTGTTGAAACTTTAAAACGAAATTGTTTCAACATAATGTATTTGTTTGAATCGGAACGAACCGTTATAATTTCAACTAGCACCGCGCTCTTATTCCCTCGTGGCTGAAAGCGCTGCAAAACAAACTACTGTTTTCCGTTTTAAATCCCTTAATACCACTACTGGAAGTTGATAACCAATTTTTAAACAGTAAAAATATTTTCACATGTTTCATATGCTTCACTAAATTATTTGAAATACTTTTTTTAGTTCACAATTTTATTAATTTGTTTCTTATAGTGACCACATTATTGTTTCAAGCGGCTTTAATTATACGTGTGGTCAATTTTAAAATTAAATTCAATACGAACAAGTAAAACATTTTGTAAAGCAGCATGGCAATGGCTAGATTTGTTTTAGTTAATTGTATTAGATCTCAGCAAGTTGGCATCACACCAATTGTAAAAAGACTGTCCAGCAACTTTTAACACGCGGACATGAAAAAAAAAACATTGTAATTATTTTACTACTGATGAAACTACAATTTGACCGTTAAAAGTTTTCACATATCGCCGTTACTTCTTAGTTTTTTCTGTATATTTAAGCGATTGATAACTTCCAGTTATACATTAAAATCTTCTTTTAAGTTCTACCGTACACATAACGTAGTTAATTCTTTAACAATTTAGTGACAACTTTTAACAATGTTCTGGCTAACTTTGCAACTGATCTGATACAGTAAAATTCGTACATGCATGAACGCAGTCAATTAGTGACTACATATGTCTATGCTAGCTGTAATTGGACAAACTTTGATATTCAAATATCTACAATCACACCTGGTCTCGGTTTCAATTTGCATTAATTTAGGCAAGGAAATCGTCAGCGGAACTAATTACGTTCATCTAATAACGTCGTCGATTTACTTTATACATATGTAGGTAATCTTGGGATCTTAGATATTAGATATAGAAGCTTAGATATTGATCCCTTCAATATGAATAGTCTTTCGTGTCCGTATAACATACAGTTCTTTGTTTACCAGAAATATTTTCGTGTAAAGATACACTAGTAAAAACCAATTGACATCTTATCTTGAACTATACATATGTATTGAGATCTGCCGATCAATGTTTGCTTAGTGAAACGATTCATTCAGATTGAACTAATACAGGAAACGCTATTTAATATAATGAAAATGTGATTAAAATGTTTAGTTCTAAATTTTTATTGCAAATCTTTATTAAATATTTGATTTAAATAGTTTGGTGTCTAAACGACAATGATCTTTTGGTTAAATACGTTTAGAAAGTCTTACTTGAATAATTTTCTTAAAGCAGGTGGATGGTATGATTAAAAAAGGACAACTTCATAGCTTATCTGCGTCTCATCGTCTCCTGCAGTGATATACGATTGCTGCCTACGTAAGTAAGTATAAATGACAAATTTAATCGTTGACAATACATATATTTTAACGTTACTTGGCGTTCTTGACTTTCTTATAGATTCCTTTTACTTTAACTTCTACATAGAACGTCGTTAGTTTTAATGATACACAACAGCACTTTTACCTTACGTTTGCAAAGTATGTAAGAGTACTTACGTATCCTCGCTCAAAACAGTGTTTGCTTTTTGACACAAATACTGGCGAATCGAAAACTATTTGGAGGGTCTCGGGTTCAAGCCTTCGAAGACTTACCTCTTGACTTTTCTTATAAAATTCATCTTAAGTAAGCACGAACATTTCGAATTTGTTTAAAAATAAAACTTGGACTTCTAATGGCTAAAACAAATTTAAATTTATCTTAACTTCATTAACAGTCGGCGCGGTAGTGGTTGCTTTTTAAGACTTAGCTAGTCGGTTGCTTTAATCATCTCAAGAAATAATTCTAATCAGAGTATTGTTTTGTGTGAATTTATTTGAGTGCCATAAAAATAATAAAAACTTAATGTTAGTTAAATTAACATAGGTAATGTGCGCAACACTGAATTTGTTTGAAACCTTAATCTTTCTACATTAAAGTGATAATAAAAAACATTCTGCATAAAAAACTGGAATTCCTGTATATCTTGTAATTTTGTTATTTTATATTAAGTATTATTCTGTGTAGATTAATTAAATTAATTTAAAAAAAATATATTAATAGACAACCAAAACATTTTAAATACATCTATGGCTTTTAGCCGAAGATGACATCAGTGATGGTTGTCATTTTGACGTTAATTCAAATGTTGTGAACCGTTATTTTAGCAAATCTAAACAGCTGTTTTTAGATTACTTATCTACTTAAACAATTCATTAAACATTTTGGTATAAAGATATAGAAGTTTAACAATTTCTTTAAATCATGGATACTGATGATTACAATGAACTAACATCTCAGTTAGATGCAAGAGAAATATTACGCTACTTAAATCATTTAGGAATACACAACATTAGTGGAGAAGTTTTGAAATACTTTATAACAGGTATTATCCTATTAAATTTATCCATATTTAATACCCCCGTGAGGTCTTTATTAATAACATTCGTTTCAGATTTAAAGAAACTCATAAAATATGATTTGCAACAGAAACATGAAAAAGAGAACACAAAAAGTCCTTTGAACCTGGGACCTGAACGATTACACAGCGCTACTACATTTTCCTCAAGAACAAGATCCAGAAACACGACCAGTGATATATTAATTTGTTGTTCTAAACAAAGTCAGAGACCTAAAAAACTTCTAGACTTCCGTAATATACACTCTGCACCTAATTTATATTCGAAAGAAGAGGTCACACAAACAAAAAAATCGTATTCCTGTGATAGAAATGTGAAGAAATCTGATATCTTATCTAAAGAATTAAAATCTATACCAACAATCAGTAGTAATTGTAAGTTTGAGTATTTATAAACCTTTCACAGTCAGGAATATAATCTGTTCTTTGATACTTTTCATTGCTTAATACATAAGACCTTTTTATTTAGTTATCAGGAAACCAAAAGAGCCTGTAAAGAGGAAACATGACCCAGTTTCTCTCTATCATTATTATTCATCATTATGGGAAAAATACAAACCGAATGTACCTGGAGAAAATAATTGGTCAGAACTAAGGTGGAGTATACGACAGAAAATGGCAGGAAGCACTGCTTCACAATCGAGTAGAGTTAGTAATTCAATATCATTTATTTTATGTTCATAGTAGTTCCCTTGCGGTCTAACTGCATGTTAAATTTTTTATATTATTATTAACTTTTTATACTTGAAAATTTTAAAATTCAAATACTTAAATGACATCGAAGGCCATTCACAGTCTTGCTTATTCTTTGATGCTATTGGTTTGTAATTTTTGTACCATTCATGCATGACAGTTTTTCCAATTTACTTACACCTAAATTAAACAGTGTGAAAATATGTATAGCCTTTGTATATATATATATACCTTGTTGTAAGTGTAGGGATGTTATTAAAGAGAGAATTCAAAAATATGCTATGATTGCCGACATCCTAACAAAGTAGTATGTGTTTATATATTATATTAGTATATGGCAGTATAGACTTAGACCAAGGTGCAGCAGCGACCCTAAGTAGGCCTTGGCCTATAAGTCTCCACTTTCCCTGTTCCCAAGCCAGTCCTGGATCTCCAGCTCTCTTAATTCTTTCTAGACCTTTTTTACAAAAGTTATCTTATTAAATTCGATTCAATATTTTAAACTGAACATATTTAATGTTAACATTTATGAGTATTACATTATAATTATAAAATTTATTATTTCAGAATACTGTTCCCATTAGACCACTTATCCAGAGTAAGAAGTTGAAATGACGATCTTGCTTATCGCTGGTGAATTTGTACTTTCCATTCCAAATGAAGACCTGAATTTGGTTATTAATGTTGATTAAGATGGCAGCTATCAGTACTATTTCAAATTTTGAAGAAATGTTTTGATTTTGTCAAAATTATATAATTAACTCGTATGGAAAAATGATTTACAGAAACATTACAGTATCAAAGGGCAGGTGTTTAATTCAGGTCTGATTTGGAATATTATATGATTGTAAATACTGTTACTAATGACTATTTTATTCATTCAATAAGTTCCTACATATGTTTTTGTAATTTTGATCTATTGATAAGTGACAAAATGCCTTGTATTAAATGAATTACAATCTATTTGTCTTTATTGCATGTGTCTTAGCCTGAAAGTTTCTCCAGTATTATGCGAGTATATAATGAAATAAAACAATGTATTAAAAAGCTATTTTTTATTAAAACAATATTGATTATCTATATGTATGTTTATATTTTAAATTATACTTGACTTAATTTGAACTCTCTCTGTTGTTCAGTTGTGATAGAGTGTAGGTGATGTAAGATTCTTTCTTCTATCCTCTCAGCGGCAGCTAAAGTCAATACTAATGTGTCATGTTTCAACATTGAGTACACATTCAGACCATAAACAGGCATTATATTGACATGCGGAAGTGAATCTGTTGCCACTGTTATGTTTCTTGGAGCTATATCAGTACTGAAAATTAAAAAAGAAATACACAGTGTTAAAGACAACCAGTCAATGCCTAAAAAACAAGAATAATTATGTTAAAAGGACTACTTTTTTATATTTCAATACTTACTCGTCAATTATCAGTACAGAAGGACCCCAATTTCTGTTTTCAATTAAATCTGCCAGATAATTTGGTTCGTCAGTCGGTAGTTCTAAATTGTTGACAACATGCAGATCATCTTGTGCAAGCTTTGCTGACAATGTTGATGTCAGACCTTGAATTCTTAAGTGAAACGGCAACATAAAGAAGTGTGTTTTACCAGATCGCGGCCCGTGAACTACTCCACCGCCGCGCCATAACGGTGAACGTATAGAGCCATGTCGTGCACGACCTAATCCCTTTTGAGGCCAAGGTTTCTTTCCACCACCTCGCACTTCAGCTCTAGTTTTCGTATGCGCCCATGATACCCATCTATACTTCGTTTGCCATACAAAGTTACGGTGGATAATGTCTATTCGAGGCATCGCCGCGTACACTGACGGATGTAACTCAAATAAGCCTAATTTCTTTTCTTCGACTGTATCTAAATTTTCGATCCATACCTCGCGTGGTTTTGTGTATACAGGAGGAAACTTCCATTCTTTCTGCGTTACACTTAACGTATTTGGGGTAGTAACTGCAGTAGAATAAGTCGAAGAAATAACCTTAATTTGCGGCCTTATAGATAGATTGAGCCTCTTAAAAGCATTAATTAATACGGACTTCATTATGTTTACCGCATTAAATAATACTAGAATTTATTTATATTCAAGAAAGGTAACTTTTTCAAATCTAAAAACTTAGAATCAACGATTGACATAACACAAAACATAACCTACAAAAACTTCTGACAGATGACAGGTGGTGTATTAGATATTTTTTAACAAAGGAAAATCATTCTATCAGCCACAATTTTATAAAAAGGAATAAAAATGCAACAAAATATAAAATTAAAGTAAAGTGTTTTATTTGTAAATTTTAAATTGATTTGGGTGAATGAATAACACAATGTTACTTGTAAACGAAAATCTGCACTAGGTGGACGCTTTACTAGATTTCAATAGGTATTACGAACAATTACAATAGAACAGTCAATCGATTCCTATCCTCTTCTTCAATCAGTAGAAATTATTTCATATCAGAACCTTATTAACTGCCTATTCATTTATAGATAAAGAACTACTAACTGAGAAGTTTTGGGATTTAAAACACAAATAAATACAATACTTCGATCGCATTCGAACACGATAGTTCTCTCTTAAATGGAGTCTTAACTTGCTTATTTGAAAAACTGTTTTTCTTACGCCTGGTTAACTTATTTGTGTGAACTATACTATGTCAGATCTTACTTATCTGCTTACTCTTGAACCATTTATTAAAGTAGGGTAGTCAAGGGTCAAGTATTATCCAATACGAAACATAGTAACATAGCCTTTAGCATCGAGAATGCAAATTACCGTAAACTAAACCCCCCTTGATTTAAGTTAGTACATAGACCGTTCGGTTAAAGGGCTTATTTAAGCTCCCGTTTGCGCAGGTAAAGCCTCAACAGGACGTTAAAATTTCTGTCAATTGAGTTTCCCAACATGGTGAGCATTTATATAAAAAAAGTTTGATAAACAATAACGTAGAGATCGATTATTAGGTTTCGTATTCATATAATAAGAAATATTTACCCTCTTATCTCTTCTTATCAGTTGATAAACAAATAAAACTATTATGTTATTTAGACAATTTGATAAGACCGACAATACAATTCGAAATTACGTCCAATTCAGATCACATACAAGCGGTCCTTTCATTTTAGCGTTAGTTGCTAAAGGTGAATCATGTCGACCGCGTACAAAAATAACCCGGCTGTGGCGAATTTCGTTGAATATTTGAGAATACCATCGGTACAGCCGAACATCGATTACGGTAAGAGTTTTTACAGACGCAGTAAACCCAACGTTTACCTTAAATGGGTCAACGACCTCTAGAGTCGAGAAACATAAATAAAAACATTCGTTCACCTTGTTATTTATTAGGTTATAATTGCATTATATTGGTAAAACAGTAAAAAACAAGAACGTCTTTATCAGCTACCTAATTTAAATGGGTAGTTAAGTTACCTACTTGCGTATTCGAGTCTTTTTTGTAATACTTAATGTTCTCTATCTTATTTACCATTTTGGTAAATAATATAAAGCGTTTATTTTATCCATCTCAAGAGCCGAAGTGAATAATTTATTTATTTAAGGGGGATTAATGTGCAACTTAACATTAGATATAACTTCATTTGTATCTTCGTCAAGGTCATTGGGTCAATTAATGACTGCGATGCAAAATTTACTTATTATTGTTTTTTAGTTATTTTAATTTTCCTTTGTATTTCTACATAAACAAATTGTATCTTTATAACTCTTTACAAGGTATTTCTTAACTTAAGAAAAATAAAACTATATACCAGTTATGTATGTGTATTTGCATTTTATGTAATGTTTCCTCCGTACACTTGATTTACATAACCGGTTTTATATAACTGATATTTATGTGTAAATCATTTACGACATTACTTAAGATTGTTTACATTGTATTAGTACACTAGGCTTATGAGCTACTCTTTCGTAACACAATAGATTCAGTGACTAGGAGTTGGTTAAGAATCAGGGTTCGATAACTCGGACTTGTACAGTAAGCTGCATAAATAAAGACAAAGCTTCTGAAACTTGTAAAATTTAGTTTAAAAATACTAATGCATAAATTCGTCTGTTTCCTTCCATACATGTATATGCATAAATAATTCTGAATAGTAAGGCCTATACGATTATCTCAAATTTTGTAAACATGTACCTACTTTTACAGCCGACTGTACCTTGTTGTAGCATAAAAAAACATAACTGAAGTGACTATTATGTCACTTGATAGATTTTTGACAGTGGAAAGCCGCAGTTACAAAAATATACAGATAATAAAATGGTAATAGATAGCAGATCATTCATATTGAGATAACTAATTTTCTTAATGTTATCGCATTTACTTAGATAATGTCAGAGAAAATACATATTTGTTTTCTTTTATCAGTGTGAATAGATTATGTAAGTCATGAGTTTATAATACAATCTTTTTGAGATGTTTCTGTTCTGGGTGTGCGGCAGTGCACGGCCAAACACTTTTCTCGAAGCTTATGATTTTCTTGACACAGCTGTAACCTAAAAACGATAAATTTCCTTCTTTCTCATTTTTGTGGAACATATATATCGTGTTATATTTATAATAATACTTTGGTGTATTTGTAATTTACGTTATATAGCTTATGTCCGTAGCTGCGTCCACGAGGTATTTTTATAAAAAATGTTTTTTTTTTAAACAAAGATGGCCTATGTTACTCCCTGATAATGTAGCTTTCTAGAGGCAAAAGAATTTTTGACATCGGTTGAGTAGTTTATGAGTTTAATCGTTACATACAAGAATGCAAATCTTATTATGTTAATATAGATTCTTCATAATGTTAGTATAGACAAGTGTAGATTACATCCCGGGTTATTTACTCTCATGTATTTGAGACAATGTAATAATATATTCAACGGGTAAAATGGAAATAACTAAGTCCTTTTCTATTATGGGGACAGGCCACGATGGAAATAGCAGTTGCATCCTTTTTAACATTTGACAGAAAAGAGGGACGGTAGGAGATTTGACCTTTCCTATCAATCTTAATAAGGAATATCTATCTAGCAATCTTAAATAACTGCGATATTCATCCGGTGTGTAACAAGGATGCAGCAAATTTGGATCCATTCAATGGACGTCACGCCTTGCAACTGCGAACCCACTTTCGGTAGCTTCCCGTATTTACGGATGAATAGCCTCCGACTTTAATCATTTACAATTGTCCCGTCTATTGTACAAAGTATAGAGACAAAACAGAAATTGTTTAAAGAGATTCTAAAATTATTTTTTTTATAATGCTTTTAAGAAATTATTCATACGTAAATAGTACCCAAATTAGCACAATTCTTTGTTTTATAGGATGTTAAAGGTCACTGCATATTTTTGAATAATTCTTTCATATTAAAGGTAATACGATAAATGTTTTCAATTTATTAAACTAAGGGGATAAGAAAATTGGAAAAACTACAAGTCAATAGCAGCACAAAAGTAAGGTTAAGGCTATTTAAATTGTCAGTCAATGGAAAGGGCCTTCGTTAAACAATAGTTAACTAATCTACCATATTCCGTAATGAATTTCCTTTGCAACTATTAGATGTTCATAAAACTAATTTAATTAATTAAGAACTTGCATTGCAGATGAATGCGTTAACTTCTTAAAGAGACAAGCGAATGAAATAGGTTTGGACTTCAAAGTGTACGAAGTGGTACCTCTAAAGCCTATCGTGGTTTTAACATGGAATGGGAAGGAGCCTACCCTGCCGGCTATACTGCTGAACTCTCATATGGACGTCGTTCCTGTGTTCGAAGTATGTATAAATTTTAGTAGTGGGTTAGGTTAGAACGTTGTCTCTCATGATAACACGCCTTTTGTATATCTTACTAGCTGTTGCTCGCGACTTCTTCCGCGTGGACTTTAGAAATAAAAAAAAAGAAATACCCTATCTTAGTCATTGATAACATAGCTTTTTATTGGTAAAAAAAAAATTTAATCCGCCCATTAGTTTTTGTGTTATTTCAATACATACAAAAAGATAAATCTTTCCTATATTATATAAATATTAGTATAGAAGTACAGATTCAATGAACTAGGTATGCCAAATTTCATCGAGATCCGGCTATTATGTATTAGGCTAAACACAAACATGCATGCATCCATCTTAACATTTCTATTTTGAATATTGGTAAGATTATTCTAGTAACTAATCTGACCTTCGAGTCGAGTTTCCTTTATAAGAAATACCTGTATCATTTTCATAAATAATAATATACTGTGTTTTTCTGTATGCATGTGAAAACTGAAATATTATATTTGGTTCCAGAACAGCTGGACTTATCCACCGTTCAGCGGACATATCGATGAAGACGGGAAAATCTTCGCTCGCGGCTCACAAGATATGAAATGTGTCGGTATTCAATATCTGGAAGCGATAAGAAAAATAAAACAAGCTGGCGTGCAACTGAAAAGAACTCTTCATATTTCTTTTGTGCCAGGTATATCAACGTTCTATATTTAATTGTAAAAGCTACAAAAAGCATGAATTTTAACGTATACTTACTCGTTACTTTAATTATGAATTAATCTATATGGTTAATGTTTCCAATTTTCTGCATAGTAAATAATTTCAAAGTTATCTACTTCTCTGTTTGAATACGCTACAAAATTTACTTTAAATGTTGCCAACATTTACCAATTTGTTGTCTTTTTCTAAACCAACATTTTTACTGACATACTTAGATTCTTTTAATAATTACTTAAACAGTTCTTTAGTGAAGATTTTTCATACTAAACTTACACTAAAGACTAAGTTACTACTTTAGAGTAATCATAGATTCAAATCAACATTTAAGTACTTTTGTAACTTCCAGATGAGGAGATCGGAGGCCATGACGGCATGGAAAAGTTCGTTTTAACAGATGAATTTAGAGCGTTGAACATTGGTTTCGCGTTGGATGAAGGAATGGCTAATCCCACTGATGAATTCATAATATTCAATGGCGAGAGAAGCATTTGGCGTACGTAATTTGCATAACAATAATTTGATGCATAACAGCATGCGGTTTTAATACGCTCCGGTGCATACAAACTCTACGTTACGCCAAAATAATGTTTGGCTAATTAATTTTCATATACTCGTATCTTCACAATATAAATTGTTTAATCTAGGAATTAGACAACGTAAAACGCGATGTACGTAAAGCAATGGACTTCAGTTAATTTGTTTAGCTTTCGCCCGCGACTCCGTCCGAGTGAAATCAAAAAATAATAAAAAACACAGCCTATGTTACTCATAGATAAATAACCTTTCGAATGGTAAGAAAATTTTTAAAATCGACCCAATAGCTTTTGCGTGAATCAACTACATACAAAAATCCAAATCTTTCCTCGTTATAATATTAGTATGGATATAGATTACACAGGAGATTTTCGTGATAATAATGATATCGATTGTGTAGATTGGGCAGTACGAACGTCTAAATATCTCTGGAATTTTTAAAATGGTCCGTAAACAGTAGTTAAATAGAAATGTAAAATAAAAATTGCTTGATAATGTTAACTTATTTCATTTTTAGAAATGCACATCCACTGCACTGGGCAACCAGGCCACGGGTCTTTGTTGATACCGAATACAGCCGGTGAAAAGGTAAGTTAACCTTTTTTTCCGGTTTTCTTTCCATTGAAAAAAATACCACAATATCATTAAACATATTGTTAAAATAATTGCAAATGTTTAAATTTATTTTAGTTACGATATATTATCGATAAATTTATGGATCTAAGGGAGGAACAGAAGAAAATACTAGAAAGTGATAACAAACTTACTATTGGTGATGTGACTACTGTTAACTTAACGCAAATATCGGTAAGTATGGATTTTTTTTAATTTTGGAATAATATTTTTACGAGATCATATAAGGTTTAGATTCATAAATCAAACTTTTAAACAGGTATTTAACGAAAGTAAACTTAGTGCGCGGTTTACACTTGGCCAATCCAGTTGGATAATAGCGCTCTGTTGACAATTAAATGGCAGAGTGTGGACGCTAACAGGCGACAATAAGTGCTTGGCGTCACAACTGTCTAATTGTACTGGCGAAGTGTGAACCGGGCAAAAAGAAAGAATTGACTACAGTAATTACTGCGGAAAGGAAATTAATATAATTGTAACTAGCGTAATTAACTTAAACACCCAGAGCCACTGATTCCGCCAAAATTGCGTGCTATTGCAGCTAGTGCATTGACAGCTGTCAGATAGGGAAGGACGTATATGCCAATAATTTAGTGCTGTGCCATTCCTCCAGCACAGTACTGATTCTCTTCTTAACACTACCTACAGTTTCACTATTATTCCAGGGGGGTGTTCAGTCCAATGTGGTGCCTGAAAAGCTGACAGTGGTATTTGATGTCCGTTTAGCTGTTACTGTTGACCACGAACAATTCGAAAATAAGGTATTCGTGAAACCCTTTCATGCATTTACAGCTGTTTAATTTCTCTAGACATCTCTCGTTTCAAATATTTCCTGTTTTGATGTTATTATGATTTTACATTGTTAATTACATTGAATTACTTTTTATTGCGTTATTATTCCACAATGATATTTTAAATTTTATTCATTGGTTATTTTAAACATAACTTTTTTAATTCTAGATAACTAGATGGTGCAAAGAAGCAGGTGATGGCGTAACGTTTGAATTTGAGCAGAAAAATCCGAACGTGGAGTGCACTAAGTTGGACAACTCGAATCCTTATTGGATCGCATTCAAAGGGGTCTGCGATGAATTGTAAGACAATTACAAACTATTTCTTATTTATAACTATCGATTTCGTTTTCCTAATATTTGCGTATATTTTTGTAGTGGTAACACTCACATTCTTATAATTATGAGTGCCTAGTTTTCGAGTAATCTAATTTCGAGAGCATGTAACAAGAAGAACGTTAGTTATGAGTGTGGAGGTACACCGGTAAAGGTAGACCTAGAAAGAGATGGATGGAGCGTGATAGGTGACATGACCAAGGAGTGATGACTGAGATGACGGATGATAGAGTTTTGTGGTGGACAAAAACCTGTTACACCGAAATGGGTTGTCTGAAAATACTATTGTTTAAAAATTTTGGTAGCTTAATTATAATTATACTTCAAACTAGGGGAATTATAACAGAAAATTTTTACGTTCACTGTACTACCGGAACCTCGTTGTTACGGAGAGTTCCCGTGGCTGTTTGTCACTATAAAAATACTCATTTAAATTCAGGGACCTGAAGTTGGATTGCAGAATATTCCCAGGAGGCACTGACAGTAGATATGTTCGGCGCGTCGGCATCCCCGCTATAGGATTCTCACCAATGAACAACACGCCCGTCCTCCTCCACGATCACGATGAGTTCTTGCGAGCTGATGTCTATTTAAGGGGAATCGAGATATACGAGAAATTGTTACCCGCAGTTGCTAATGTTTAAATCATTAATTATATAATATACACTTGTTATCACATATTTTATTTGCAATACAAATATATAGATTTGAAGTACAAAAGATTTTTGCTCTACCCATGAGTCCAAGTTTATTTTTTACCCTCGAAAATTTGGTTAAAAAAGTTAATAATCAAATCTGACAGTCGAATACTGAAAATTCGCTTTGAAAACGCTGCTTACAATCTGGCAGATGTAAAATGTAATCGTATAAATATTATAATTGTATATAAAAGGAGCTAGCAAATCATTGTTTGCAAATCAAAACCATAAACATTTTTCAATATTTTATTTCAATGTTTTATACATTTTTGATTATGGAAAATTTAAAGATGGATGACGATACATTTTTTAACTTTCTCTATATGAATATCAAGTGATAGGATTAAACTAGCTGGGACCGTGACAAAATACTAACCAAATCATAAACTAAAATTGTAATTTTAGTTATATAAAATAATGATAATTTATAGGGCGTAGAGGACATATTGCTTAAAATTCAAGGTCAACCACCAAAAAGATTAAAATGGCCGACACTTTTATGTAATTGTCAGATTGCTATGTAGGATTTTTTTCAAATAGCATTAGAAAAATCAATATCTCTAAACTCACTAGGAACCCGTAGTATAGTTATCAGGCAAGTTAAGCTGGTTTTTAGTCAAGTGCTCGGCCCAGTAACAGGTCAAGACAGTCACTGTTATCCTATTCTATTTACTAGACTATTTATTATCCACAACACATGTGTTTATGTCCCGTAAAATGATGTTCATCGTTTATCTACAGGATCCAGTCTCTTAATTTCTTCGCAATGACATTGTCACTATTCCTGCGATTTTCTGGTCGTTTAGGCGTTCATCCATTTCTATCACCATCATCACCCTTATCCTATTCTCGTAGGGTCGGCACAACAGGTTTTTGTCCTCCAAATAACTCTATCATACGTCATCTCAGTCCCTCAGTCATTTACCCCTAAGTTTAATGGCGTGAAAATATATAACCTAAAGCGTGACGTAAGTGGCTTTTATTTAAAAGGTTATTCAACAATGTGCTGTAATTGCTGACATCTTAGGTAACAAATTGTGTGTTTACGCTTTATTATAATAGTATATACATAGATTTCCACTAAACTGTTAGCCGCCTTACTACCGATGTTCACTGGAAAATAATATTTATTTTTATTAACATAAAGTCCAATTTCAGAAAATTAACACAATAAAAGATTTAAAAACAAAATGTAAATTAGGTTAGTTCCTTATAATTTCATAAACAGATTGTGACGAAATTTTGCTAGAATGTTCTTAGCATGTGAGAATGTTGTGGTTTGTTTGCACAAAGACTAATAAATAAGGTAAATGGTTTCTCTGGGTTAATAAATTAATTACCATCTGTGATACCATTAAATCTGCATTGAACTACAAATTTTTGATTAAAAGATAGTTATAAATATATTCATTTATTTACATGCCATAAATATATTTTAGATAACTACCTGTATGTCCCATATTTGTATGTAAAAGACAACAGAAATCTCACTCATGTTATGTGTTTTCTTCGTTTCATAGACTACTATACAGAAATATATTTCTGTCAATTCCACATCACATTTTTTTATTATTTTCATCTCATTTCAAAAAAAATTACATTACATGTAATATGGAAATAGTATTAAATGAAATAATTGCCAAAGTTCATATTTTAACAATCTTTTTCGCATTTCATATAGTTTACACATTTTTTGTTGTAATTTTATAGCAAAGCTTTTTCCCTCTTGGTTGTAAATTATTGCGACATCTAATTCTGATTTATGCAGTTCTTTTCCTTGATTTTCAACTCTGTTTGCAATTTTGCAAACTATTGCCAATTCAATGCTTTTTGCAGATCTTGGCAAATTTATTGGCAATGTTGTTAATCATTGCCAAATTACACCGGCAAATGCCAAAAGCAATTTGCAGACCAGTTGTATATACGCTACAAATAGTTTGTTTTCTACAGCGGTACTGTTTGTTTTTCATTCGATTCATACATTGAGTTAACAATAGACATAATTTTATTAGCTTGTCTTATTAATTTTACTAATACATCACTTCTTGGTAACGTTAGCATTTCAGATAGAAATTCGTATCCGTAAGGCGCTTTTGTTAAAATATACACAGCTTCAATTTTATGCTTTACACTCGTTTTATAATGAGGTCGTTGATCTATTGGTGGTATCAGAGTAAGTAATTTTTGAGTACTCGGAAAATGTTCCACGGTTGCCAAAAGTTCAGGATTTGAAACGATATTTTTAGCGACTTTCAGACTGAATAACAGTTTTGTAACTAAGTATTTCAATTTAGCTAGTCGGGTTCTAACTTGGAGAAGATATTCATATAAAATCTTTTCTCCTCTAGTTACTGGAACTATATAGTCTTGAATTTTAAGTGTAATACCGCGCTTATGTCGAGATTCTGAAAACGAATTATTACAATCACTGAATATTTACAATACAATAATCTTCCTAATATTATAAATGCGAAAGTTTAGATGGTTAAATGTTTGTTAGAGTTTGCCGCCTAAATTACTGAATGGATCTTTGAAATTTGGCAAAGACGTATAGTCTGGAACATATAGGCTACTTACTTTTAATTCCACGCGGACGGATTCGCGGGCGAAAGCTAGTATTTACATATTATAATCAGAACATTTACATTCAGTATAATTTGTAGCTGGGAATAAGACAGAAAATATTTAAAACTTGCATATCAAATTAGATAAAAATACATGAGAAGACAGAAAACAAAGATCTTTTTTTATTGTCAGGGAGGCGCTGAAAGTTATAGTTAGATGCCAATCTGGGCAAATTACTGGCGGTATAAAAGCTTGGTTAAAAAAATACATATATACCTTTCAGTAAAACATCCGGTATTACACTGTTGGGAAGATCTTCAGGTAAAACTTGCTCCTCATCTAAAATGTCAAATAATTTTAAATAAATATCACATAAGTAGCTTTTCCCGAACAATTTCATTCAAATGACATTATAAAAACTATTTTATTGTTTACATTTGTTTTTCGATTTCAAATGATATTGGATAACAATTACCGTTACCATAGCAATCTTGCTTCCTGGATGTCAGTTTGTAGTGTTTGTCCCTTTCCCGCATGACTTTCTTCCAAATTATTTACTCCGTAAGTTTAATAGCGTTAAAATATAAAGCATAAAGCGTATCGTCAGTGTAAGGCATTTTATTAAAAAAAATAATTATTGAAAAACGTAACGCTATATATAAGTTTACGCTTTATTGTATTAGTAAAGAAGTATAGATATTCCATTAAAATTTCAATTGAAAATCTCAAAATTCAAATGATAAAATGACAACGACATTTGCAATTTTCTAACAATTTCCTTACCATAGCAATCTTGTTTCTTTGCTGGAATTAGCTTGTGGTGTTTGTCCCTTTCTCGGATGACAATTATCTACATTTTTACATTCCTTTACTATATGAAGAAATGAATAAAAAAGAAAAAAAAAACATTCCCTGAACTGTGTTACTACTCCATATACTTTTATAAAAAAATGTTCTTTAGTAAAAGTGCATTAAGCAAATTTTTAACGGAATGTATAAATTAAAACTACAAGAAAGATTTACCTATATTTTCTGGATCACTCTTTGTTTTATTTTGTTGATACTGATTTTTATTGATATTGTTGTCTGAATTTCCTACATTTGAAGTCTCAATTATATTTGTTGAGTCCGTCAAATTATTTGTTGAGTCCATTAAATTATATGTTGAGTCCATTAAATTATTTGTTGAATCCATTAAATTATTTGTTGAGTCCGTTAAATCATTATTATTCGATGGTGTAGGAAAATATTTCAATAAAATACGCCCCTTCTCATCGATAATAACTTCAGGATGTGGAGTAACATCTGAAACATGAGATATATTATTACATTAAAAATTATTACATATATACAAAACTCTACACTACAGGATATTAAAAAACGGGCATACAATGTTACTATAATTTACTAATGTTACTATTTTTTTTTTTTTTTTTCATTTAATTCCGACCAAATACATTTCCAAACATTTATTGTGTATTATTAAAAAAAGTAATATCTTACTGCTTATTTATATTATAATTATTAATATAAATAAATGACGAATTTTAGGTGGATGGATGGATGTTTTGTTACTACATATCTCCAAGATTCAACTTTAGTCAAAATGTGGTATTAACAGAGAAAATGAAAAACATAGGCTATTTTTTTTAATTCCTACAGCTATCTTCTATACATTTGAGAACTTTACCCTCTAAACCAGGCCCCATACGTTGGCCTTCCTGTTCGACAGGTACAACGTTGTAAAAATCATCTACCCAATTTGTATATTCTTGTATATAAGGAGCGGAACAATTGGTCCAAATGTTTTCTTGTATCGGACATACACTTTTGGTTTCTACAATACAAAAATTTTAATTCTTCCACCAAACAACAAGCAAAATATAAGCCTTAATTCGATAGTTTTTTGAAGCAAAAAAAACTGTTTTTTGTATTTTTTTCATTACTTTTTCAGTAATTTTTTAAAATTAGTTGTTCATCACAGTGGACACTATCAAATGATTTTTTTTACAAATTGTTGAATACATGTATCGAATTCAATAATTATACAAATGTTGTTTAACTTGGTGATAAAAGGTTGATTTTTGCACAAAAATATTAGAAATAAATAAGTATTAACATTAAAAAACTGAGGTTTACAATGAAACTGTATGAAACAAAATATGAAAAACACCGTTTTCCTTTGGCTGAGGATTCTTTGGTGCTTTTTTAACTCTTTTTTTATTTTTATCTCCTTTCTTTGGTTCATCTAAATAAGGCAGATATTATATATGTATATGATTACACACAATATTTATTTCGTTCTTTAAAATGTAATAAAAATCAATATTTGGGAATTAATTTAAACATTAATGAAGGATCAGGTGAATTTTAATAATTATTTGATTAAAAAAAAACTTTAAAGAAAAATTATTTAAAAAAATCGTTTAAAAGGTATTACAATAATATCTTACCAACAACATGAAAAAACTAGATAAGTATATAATATTATAAAGAGGAAAGATTTGTATTTTAGTATGTATTGGAATAACTCAAAAACTAATGGGCCAATTTCAAAAATTCCTTCACCTTTAAAAAACTGCATTGTCAGTGAGTAACATAGCCTACGTTTTTTTATTGCATACGGGCGAAGTCTCGAGCAATATAAATATAATAAAATACCTTTGGCATCATCATCTTCTAGTTTAGTTACTTTTATAAATGTGCAGTCACTGAGCAAGTCAGTAGATCTGAATGTGGGTAGTTAGGTGACATCTATAACATTTCTTTGATCAAATACCGATTCCTTTGACTTATCAATTGCATCTGCAATATAGTAAAAAAATTGAATTTAAATCGACCCTCTTAGTGTAGATTTAATGAGAATTTTTCAGCATAGACACTTATAATGGCAAATTAACCACTCTTAAAGTAAGTAAGCAATCACATAGAAGTGTATAGGGCCTTACTACAAAAAAAAAATATTACAAACACATTTTAGCTAGTTTTAGTTTTAGCAAGTAATTAAGGCAGGGTCATACTTCTTACTAATATTATAAATACATAAGTTTAGATGTATGGATGGACATTTACTACTTATATCAGGCTTAATGGAACAAGCTGTTTCACAAAGACATAGAACAGTCTGGAAGAACACATTGGCTACTAATAACGTTTTTATAATACTCGCAGATAGCGTCGCGGATAATATCTTAAATAACAAAGTACTTATAACAAATGCAGTGTGGTGATACATACTTTGAAAAATATAACTTCATTGATGGCTAAATAACTCAGAATCACAGTTAAAAACATGTGTTTTACTAAACTTTATAGGAAAATACAGTATTTATACCTGTTTTGGGTTTTATTAAAAGTGTTGGGTTGTTTGTTAAAGGGTCTAGAGTTACAACTGCAGTATTTTCTGAATTTTTTTCCGTTTCTGCAATTGGCTTTCGTTTATTTGATAATCTCACAACCAAAGGAGCTTCTGAAACCCAAATACAGATATAAAAACATTCTTAAATATAAACTACATTACAGGAAATTCATCAATTATACAAAGTGTTAATTAACTTAAGGGAGAGAGATTTTTACCATTATTTTCTTCAGGTGGTTCATCTATTAAATCCTCATATGGAAGTGAGGTTGGTAAGTTTGATAAGATTTGTGGTTCCATTTCATATTCAGCATCAGAGACTATATAAGGTATTATAAGGGATGGATCTACTTTTTTCGGTTTCATATCTACAAACGATGGGGATGGAGGGTCTGTAAAATAAAAGTGTAAAATCTGTTTGTGTCAGTGCAGTCATTACATAGATTAAGGTAACATGACAAACACATCAAGGTAAAAGTAAATAAACAAGAAACACAACATAACAATAAAAGCATAAAGTATTCTTAATTCAAATTTAATCAATAGTTAAAGTTAAGCCATGCCAGTAAAGGGATAAGTAGATAGTAGTTGCTGTCATACTATCTACTGGCGCAATGTTTACTGTAAGCAATGAGATATGTCAGTGTCAATCTTTATACCCCACTCGACCCTCCCTCAACTTACATGTTAAGTACTGATGGTAGTTGGCATTTAACATAGGCAGTAGTGTCAATATCACTCAACACTGGACAGTCAATCAACTGCGCAGTGTGAATTATAACTGGTGCCAGTGAGTCCATACAATTGATCGCTGTCACAACTGGCCAAGTGTGAACCGGGCATCATATCGAGAACATACCTGGTTGACTAGGCTTTCCAATTTCTTCATTATTGTTGGCGTCGTCAGTGTCAGATTGATTCCTATGATACATGTGCAAAGGAAAACAGGCCATAATTTCATCAGAGAGTGGAGGATGTTTTAAATTTAATGATGGTATTGCAGTCCTTCTGAGACGACTTTTCTTTCTATTAAAATCTCTAGGAGTAAAATGCTGTCCACATAAATATTTTAACATATGCAACTTTTCAATAGGGACATATGCCAGATCTTCATTTCCAACACGTCTTACCCATTCTTTGCATCTGGGAATTAAAATAAATGTATGTCAATTTTACATTGTCTATGAACTATCTAGAATATGCTAGCATGATAGCATATGTAGACCACATATGCTATTATTCATTAGATAATATTGCCTCATTCCTAGAAGGTAATCCCGAAGTTCTTAAAATTTATTTAGCTTGTTATGTAAGCTTCTGTGACAAACATAGTTAATTTTAAATGAATATTGGTTATTGTTATTAGTAAAGTTAAGTTATTACTACTAATTTTGTTGCATACTAACTGTAACATTACAATGTAAAAACTTTACTTTATTGTTTTCATTCTGTAAAACTTTCAATTGCAAAATTGTATGAAAGCCCTTGCCTGCCATTGAGTTTTAGTAACTATGGCAACCTGTATTCCTTGCTAATAATGGTTTGTAATTGTTAGATCTCAACAATCTTTTCCAATATACTCACTCCCTAATTTTAATAGCGTGAAATATATAGCCTAAACCGTGTCATAAGTGCGGGTATTTTTATTATTATAGAATGATTCAGAAAAATGCTTTCATTGCCGATTTTTGCTAATTCCGTATAAAGGTATAAAGGTTACATACGGAAGATATATGTGTTTACAATTTTGTATATTAAATATAGAAAGATAATTATTTACCGAGCCTCATTTAAAGGGAACTGACCCATAAAATCCCTTTTTTTACCCATTACTCGGAATGAACGATGTTTACATATTTCGCATGAAACAAATCGTTTTCTGCTCGTCTTCGGTGCATTGCTTTGTTCTAGCATTTTGAGGTACCAAATTATTACAAACAACCGACCAGTAATTCTTCCAAAAGCATTTATATTTCTTAAACAAACATTACATTACGGTATCAATATATTTTGTTTAGTTGATTGATAAAAGCAAAAGCCAGTAGCCCGCCGAACCCCGCTCGCTGTTGGTTGACAGCAGTTGACAGCATGACAGCTGACAGAGGGCCAAAGAGTTTGTAGCTACCAAAGATGTTAAAAAAATATATAGAGCTTAGCTCCCAAACATCGTTTCTTTTACTTTTTTTACGCAAATCGTTTGAGAGGATTTGAGAGAAAGGTATTTCCGTTTAGGAGTTCCTACTTTCTCCGTAAAAGCAATTTCAATTTTTAGGGTGCAGTTGGCCCCATGGATATTAAATAAGTACTACGTCCAGCAGGAAAGAGTGAGGATCTGAACATCTTGCAGTTAAAATAAAGAAAATAAAACCTTATATCATTGTAGTAAGAGTCTCATTGCACGCATAAAAAAATTGATGCCGAGTGAGAGGACTACAAGTATCCGCTGTGTCCCTTTCTAACAGTGATCTGGAGTAGCCAGATATCAATTATTTCGTTTACAGAAAAATGGGCGATTTGTATAAGGAATAAGCTAGGTTTACGGCGTAAACTTCACAAGACTTTTATTTAGAAATGTTTGATTTAGAATAATGTATTTTGTATTGTTTTTGTTAAATACATTAATTATAACAATAATTATTATTACGGACAGGACTATCACTGCCAATAGGTCTGATATAGTAATAATAGATCGGTCTGAGAGTTGTGTATTATTGGTCGATATCACTATCCCGCATGACGAAAATCTTGTGGAAGCCGAAAATGAAAAAATATTAAAATATTTAGATCTGGCTCACGAGATTACAACCATGTGGCGTATGATATCGACTACCATTATTCCGATAGTCGTTTTAGTCTATGGGCTAATAGCGAAGAGCTTCTACCAACATCTCAAGAAGCTCTCGCAAGACAGTTGGATCAAGGGCCCGATTCAAAAGCCAGTTATTTTAGAAACCACACGCATAGTGCGGAGATTCCTGTCTCTGCAGCCCTGACCACTGGTTGCTTGAGTCATCGGATTCCGCAGCCGGTGGTGCTCTATTTTTTTAAAAAGGCTTTATTTTATCTTTTATACAAAGGATGCAAAATATATTATATGTAGAATAAGGAATGAGGATACATATGAAAACAATAATACATTAAAATCCATTTGAAGCAATAATCTGCTGACGTCAGACAACAAAAATATTTTTTTTATGAATTGTCCTTGTATCATATTTCAACATGGTTACCATCGCCGGAGAGGGATAAAAGGGACAGTTATTGAGGTCTCGCTCGGCTTCAATTTATCGACAAGTGCTCATTCCTGTTCTAGTAGTACTTCCACAGAGTACTTTGTAACATACTGAAAGTACTACTTCCATTGGAAAACTATAAGAGGCCGATGTATGACATTTTCATTTTCTTTTCACCAATATTCAGTTAGATATTTATCCCCGAACTCGTAGTTTCATCCCCCTGTTGGTGGTTTTATTAAAGAAAGCAGGTCTGAGACTCAGATTAACAAGAAAAATTGAGTAAACAATTCTTAACAACAAGAGATACTTGTGAAGACAGTAAAAAATGGACAACGTATGTAGAATATGTCTCAAAGGGGGGCTTCTCTCCTCTATTTTTGTTGATAATTACACAGTATCTTTACGTGATATGATAGAGTATTGTAGTAATGTTAAGGTAAGTAACATGGCACTCTTTAATATAAAATTCTATTAGTCAATTTAAGAATACAATGAAATAGCATTTAAATTGATAAAGAATAGAATGATTAATTTGTTTCACTTAATAACACACATGTTAATTACAGATATGTGATGATGATGGTTTACCTGAGCAAATTTGCAGCAATTGTATATACAAATTGGGAGTGGCGTATCATTTTAAACATTTATGCAAAAGTTCTGATGTACGTTTAAGGGAACATCATGGATTGCAACCAGTCAGTGGGTAGGTAAAAGAAAAATATATTTAGGAGTTTGATATGTACTGTACAATATTATGATATAATTTATTTAATACATTCACAGAACTAGAGATATTGGCATAATGACAGATTCACCGGACAGATTTGTATGTATCTCAAGTTATTTATTCATAACTAAATCAAGATTATTAAATATCTTATATGTTTTTGTAGGCAAAAAACCGCACGACATTAAAAAGGATGGGTAATGACAGAATCACAACATGGTATGTTAACTAAATATAAATTTCTTTTGTAATTTTCTCACATAATTTAGTATTCCAGTATTCCATCTTGCTTTATAGTGGCAGAATTGCTGGGAAATTGTTATTTTAAATGTGTCATGTATCTATATTGAAATCTATGAACATAGAAATTATAATAGCTTTTTTCATGTAATATATTAAATTTTATTTCAGGTCGCATGATGTTGCCGTTATGACAGATCCATTTGTATGTATTTAAAAAATATATTCATATTAATTATGTTTTTATATAAAGTTATTACTATTTTTATTATTGTTTTAGATCCCTCGTGCTACATTAATAAAAAAATGGTATGTAGCCTATACAATGTGTTTAATCAATTTAAAATTTAAAATTGCTTTGAGTTTTAAATTGCTGCATTCTGGAGATAACTTTTAACAAATATCCAACCATCAAACCATTCACATTTATAATATAAGTGAGATAGTAGAATTGTACTATTTGACAGCAAATGCAAACTGAGTCAGAAGAAGAGCAGATCAAATTACAATAGGAAACCAGAATCGGAAAAAAAGAAGCGCGGCCCTAAACCCAAACCGAAGCAAAGTCACACCTGCCAACAATGCCAGAAAGATTTCCGATGCAATGCTCAGCTAGAAGTTCATATGAGGTAAGACACTTTTTAAGAAATTTTAATTTATATAATACTAGCTTCGCCCGCATGAAATTAAAAAAATCAAACGCAAGTAGCCTATGTGTACAACCAGACTATCGTTTACATCTATGCCAAATTATATTGAAATCCATTCAGCCATTTAGGACACAAGCTCTAAAAAACATTCATCCATGTAAACTTTCACATTTATAATATCAGTATGATTCTTACTTTTGACTGTAAAGTTTAGAGTGTATCAGGGAGCAAAATAGTTCTTTCTATAGATAGAGCTAGGATTCCATAACTCTGATTTAGATAAAATGGTCTGGTTTGATGGATAATTTTTAGTATACCACAGAACAATTATTTATTCATGGGATGTACTTGAAATATTGTTTACCTCTTTGATATTAATCTTTTATATATTGAAATGATTGTCTTTTAGGACACACACTGGTGAACAACCATATTTATGTATGTACTGTCCGCGTGGCTTCTCACAGAAACACAACCTTACAATACACTTAAGAACACACACTGGCGAGAAACCATTTCAGTGCCAAATTTGCAGGTATATGTAAAATGTGTATATTACCAAGTAATTTTGTTGTCAAACCGCCTAACTAATATTGGTATGTTTTCCGATGAGCTGATCTAAATTATTTCCCCTCATTCTCTTTGAATATTAGAGATAACTATTTTGTACAAATGAAATTAAATTGAACTTATTCCAATAAATAGTATTTGTAATATTGTAAATCAGAACTACATATATTTGTAGACTCAAAAATCACTCGGAGATAAAACTTATTAAATCTTTCTATTTTACAGTAGAAAATTCTCAGCACAAAGTAATCTTCAGGTACATCTTAAAATCCACTCTGGTCAAAAAGATCATGTAAGTTGTTTTAAATTATTAAGTACAATAAGGTGATGGGACTAGTCTTTATGAGTTTATTGGAATTTTTCCTCAAAATAGGCAAACAATAATTTAAATTATATTTCATGAACTGTCTTTTAGTTTTGTTTCAAAATGGACCTCATAATTATGTAAACAGTCAGTTTTTATCATTTCAAAGTGTAATAATTCAAAAATATAACTAAATATATGTATTGTTGTTGCAGGAATGTTCATTGTGTGATAAATCATTTGTAACATCCAGTGAACTGACTCGGCATATGAGCAAACACAGAGGTGTCAAAGACTTCAAATGTGATGAGTGCAAGTCTGCTTATGTTCACCCCAGAGATCTTGTAAGTGTCACACAATAAGATACCTTGTTCCAATAGCAATAGAGTGTATATTCAAATTAGAGAAAGAGTGGTAGAGCATGCTTTAACATCTTCCCACAAATGGGCCGGTCCGTCCAATGCAATACCACAACCACACAGAAGACAGGCGTGAAGTGGAAGCAATTCCGAGTTTGATGAGTGTGGTGCCGATAGTAGACCCCTTTCCGTTCCACCCTATCCTTGGGAGGAAAGAATGGGAAGAAAAAGTGTATGTGGTGGTAAGAAGGGGGAATATTCTGTTTATGTCCATCACCTCTTCTATTGATTAAGGGTAGGCAATGCATCTTCATTTGTGGACAACTATGGAAAGTGGTTGCTTCACTATATCGGCAGATTCAAGCTAAAACTGAAGCTCCCCTTCCCTAGGCGATGTCTATAATACCTCTAATAAATATCATCTTATTTCTACAATGTTTTTTACTCCAATGTTGTTTTCAGAGACTGCACAAACTGAAAAAACATGCAAACACATCACAAAATTCAACACAGAATGAAGGTTTTAATAACAGCAGTCATATTGATATAATTGGTCTTGAAGATAGAAGGGAAATTCACTTAAAGAATGACAAAGATGTCACTCTCTACACTGGGCATACAATTGATGTGAAAAATGAACCCAACCACAGTTTCATAGATCTTGAAAAGGAGATATTTACATTCCCTAATTAGTGAAGTAATTTACTTGAACTTTCGACCAATTGAAATATTACTGCATCTTATTGCTATGTTGGCTTTGCACTTTATGTTTGTGTGCCCAAGCTGCATTGTAAATAATCCATTCCTATAGGTAGAGAATTGAAATATGTTACACATAAGGAATACAGTTTTAGTCAAGAAAACAATTATGTTTTATAACCTTTAATATAGTCACAACTATTATAAATTAATGTACAAAAAATTGTATTGTTAAACTACATTGATATGGACATTTAAAGTATAATCAACATTTGCAATGTGTTTTTTTTTTAGATGTTCTAGGAAACAATTTTAATATGTTGTAGCATGTACTAGATGCTAAGTAGACTAAGTAAGGATATTGCATCTTTGTGTATGATATTCACTAACCAGTATCCTTGTAACATCTTAAGACAGTCTAAATAAAAATTTACTATCATTAAAAATGTCTCATTTTTCAGAATTTTTCCTACACAACAAATATCTTAAATGAAATAATTCAAAAACATATTATCTATACTTTATTGACTAATAACATGTTTACATTGCCACTGAGCATATAAATTAAGCTTTAACTGAATCTTCAAGTTAACATTGCAATATATCTCCCATTTACCTGATAGGTACCCAGGGCTCAAAAACATCGGCTAGTTTTTTTCTCTCTGAAAAGAAAAGCAACTTTAGGTGAAAATATTCTTTTTTGTGTTTGTTGACATCAATATACATAAACATAGTAAATACCATTATTTACAAATGCAGGACTATATTGTAGTTACAGCTCTATACTATTAAAATGTATTGTTTATAAGGACTGCAATCTTACAATATTAATTTACCTGGAATAGGGAAATCTTCGGGATGTAATTCCACGTAATGACGATAGACAGCGTCCTTTTCAGCAAAATATTCATCTCGTTTATTCTGAACGTAATTTAATAGGGCACACCATCCGACCACACCAAAGATGTGTTTTTGAATACCTTAAACATTGAATAAAAAGTTGTTTGTTATGTAATCGATTACCATTAGTAAATACCTTCAGAAACGTGCAATCTACTTTGTTATTGTTATATAATAAATTACCACTAAAGACCGGTCGTCTTGTTCCAAAATTAATCATAACTCCCGTCCCAACTCCAAAAGTAGCTCCAATTAAATATGGCCAATATAAGTTTAAAAAGGGTTTCTTCCTATCCTCATCTCCCAATTTGAGGAGATCTATTGCAGATAAATGTGCAGACATGTTTTACGCACGATGTTTTACCACTTTTGTTCGAGATAATAAAAAATGGATTTAAAACTGGAAAATAATAAAGGTGACAGAAAAGCAAGAGACAAGTTCATCACATTGACAGATGACAAAAATGAAATTGTCATAATGTAAGCACAGACTAAATATTGCTAGGTAGTGCAAAAACTGTTGTCTATTTTAAAATGTTTAGCTTAAATCACTTGTAGCCATATAACTGTCCTTTTTTCAAATGTCACCAGATATCACTGTCATGTCAGCCAGCTGTCAGTTGGTTGGTAAATAATTAGAGCGTGAGTTTAGTAGTTTTTCTAGAGGTTATTAAAGCGTTTTGTTTTATTATTTGGAGATTTAGTATTAGTAATAAGTATTTTAATTAACGGGACGTTTTTACATTTTACAAAGCAAAATGGTAAGTGCATACGGTCTTAAAAATGAACACACATTAAAGGTAACAACAGTACATTTATGTATTATTTTTAATTCATTTGATTATCATTCGGTTTCAGGGTAAGCAGCGCAAGACAAGAAAAATAGTAGAAAAAAGATTTGCCAAAATGAAAAAGCTTATTAGTCCGAGCGATCCACGGATTAAAGCAAAAGATCGTGCCGAACCTAAAAAAAAGAAACCAATCGATCCTCATGAAATGAAAATCCGCGAAGTGCCTCAATCAAGCTCTGCTTTGTTTTTTCAATATAATACACAATTAGGTCCACCTTACCATATACTTATTGATACTAATTTTATAAACTTCTCCATTAAAAACAAATTAGACATTATACAGAATATGATGGACTGTCTGTATGCTAAATGTATTCCGTATATCACTGACTGTGTCTTAGGTGAGTTGGAAAAATTAGGTAGGAAGTACAGAGTTGCACTGAGGATTATAAAAGACCCACGATTTGAGAGGATAGCCTGCCTTCACAAAGGGACATATGCGGATGACTGCATTGTGCAAAGAGTCACACAACACAAATGTTACATAGTCGCTACTAATGATAAAGATTTAAAAAGAAGAATCAGGAAAATCCCTGGAGTACCAATTATGTATGTTGCAGAACATAAGTTTACTATAGAAAGAATGCCAGATGCTTATGGAGCTCCCAAGGGGGCCATTTAGTTTTAAGTTTTCTTTTTAATAAAATTATACCTAAGATGTTTTTGTTATTTAATATACTCTCTACATTATTCTATACTCTGCTCAACATACTTCAGTAAAAAATATTAAACATTGTCGAAATAAAAACAAAAATACAAAACATCACATTTATTATGCAATATAATATTTCCATTACATTATATTCCTACAATACAATATTAAAGGCCTATCCCACAACTGGCTGATAGATGCTCAGATATCTTAAAAATGACGTCACTGACAGAACGGAACACTTCTGATATTTTCGTAACATATTTTTACACATTGTTTTGTTATCAGACAATTTATAATTTGGTGGGACAGGTCATTAGTATAGACGGTCATTAGTATAGACAACAATCAAATTGATCCAAGTAAAGTACAGTGTATTAAATATCTACATTATAATCGCAAACATTTTAAATTGATACATGAGTTGGATAATGTAATGTAAATTGTTCATAAGGTAAGGTTTTACTATGAATATCACTTCACAGTCACCAAGTCTTTACAAAGCCCGATTAAAAGCTCCGCAGAGGCAATACTAGATGGTGTTGTTATGTGAACCCGGAGAGCCAACTACATCAATGATTTCACCGAGAGGCTTTGTGTCAGCTTCAGACGTGTTACATAATGATGGCGGGATAGTCAATGTCTGAAATAGAGTTTGTATTAATAATTATGTAAAACTAGCTGTCTCCTGCTACTCTCCATGCGGATTTAGAAAAAATATTAATAGCCTATGTATTATTTCACATTATGATTTACATCAATGCTAAATTACATTCAGATCCATGGTGTGGATATCTAATAACAGACATCTTTCCCTCCATCCAAGCATTCACATCTTACTAATATTACAAATACGAAAGTTTGGATAGATGGATGTTTGTCAGAGTTTGTAGCCTAAACTGCTGAATGGATCCTAATGAAATTTGGCACAAATGTAAAACATAGTCTGGAAGAACACATAGGCTACTTGCTTTTGTTTTTTTTTTTAACTCCACGAAAACAAGTCGCGGACAAAAACTAGTTTATGATATTAGAAAGATGAAAATAGTATGATTGTTTCTACTACAATTTCTTGATACATTAACTGATTGAAAAAATCCTACTGTTAAATAAAAGATTTTACCTTCCCAGGATTGAGTGCTTCATACTGATGTCTTAATGCTTGCAATTCAAATTCATACGAATTCAAAGCGTTCTTGAGGTCTATAGCTAAAGCGAGATCTGAGCGCAGCTCATTAAAATGTTTGCATATAGACTCCGTTGGAGTTGGAGCGACATCTGAAATAAAAACTTATTTATAACATTCATATATAAGATAAATAAGGAATCAAGAACTAGCTGGTATCAAATTCGTCTGTGGTAAATTTAAAATACATTAACAATTTCCTTTCCTGACTATCGCATTTATAATTATATAGTAACAATTTTAAATGGTTCACACCAGCTATACCTTTAACATAATGTAATATCAAAGTATTATAAACATAAATACCAATATTCATAAGTCGCAATTCCTGTTCAATTGCCTTGGTCTTCCGCTGTCCTACACCAGGAGGCAGCTTCATGCGCTGCGAGCGCAGCCACACGCCCGTGCCGCGCGCCTCCGGGAACTTTATACCTGACCATTCTACTGTCTGGATAATATAAAAGGACAGAATTAAATTAAACATCCATATTTTTGAATATCGAAGTATATAAGTCCAGAAACTTTTGTACACCAGCGATCCATCAAATGTGAAATTGTGACCTTTTCGTACATCTTTTTAAATATCATGTCAGCCCAAATGCATATGCACACTGGTTATTAGTATTCTCCATCTGCATACATTTTTGTGGCAACACATACAATTTTCTGAACTACTAAGATATCTAACATAACAAAATAAATTTTAACAACATTATTATTAAATGTAGTTCTATTTTTGGGATAAAAAAATGGTATAATTTAAATTCAAAGTACTTAAGGCAATTAAAAACCTTACCACAGTTTCAATAGCTCTCATAGGTCTTTGTTGTGAAGCAAGTTTCTTCTTATGTAGTTTTCTGTCATGTCGTCTAGCAATGCTCGAAGACACTGTAGATGGTGTGTTCATTCCATCATTGGATATAGCTGTTTGGTTAGCCACAGCACTGTTACCATCCGCTCTTGATATCAATTTCTGAAGATCTTGAGTTTTTCTTTCTCTTTCACGTTTTCTGGCTTCGATTTTCTTCAATTCAGCCAGTAACATTTGTTCTTCTTCTATCTGCAATGAAAAAAAAACATTAATTATTTTTTAATACATACAATTTTTTACATTGTTTATAAATTTACCTGTTCTTTGGTCCTGTCGAATAATCGTCGTAATTGTTCTTTTCTCTTCCTCTCATGTTCTGCATCATAATGATATACCCGTTTCTCTCCATTCACCATGGTCACTGTATTTGACCAAGGATTTGTTTTCACCTATGAATTAAAATAATTTCAAAACATAGACTTGATTGGTTCTTCAATGTATCTAATTGTGATACTATTAAATACTAAAATTATAGCCTTTGTTACTAAGTGATGTCATAACTTTCTAATGGTGAAAGATTTTTTTGAAATCGGCCCAGTAGTTTTTGAGTTATTCCAATATATACAAAAATAAAAATCTTCCCTCTTTATAATATTACTATAGATTAAATATTTTATCTGCTAAATGCAAATGAAGTGAATAAAGTTTTAGTTTTAATTAACCTTGCTGAGAATGCCACAAATGTTGTAATATCTCTCCTTTAGGTCTTCCACACTTCTATCCCTAAAGGCAGCACGATCCCATCTATCATGGATGATAATGAAACGGAGATCAAAGCGCTGGCACAGGTCCATTAAGTGATCCGTCTCTGCCTGACTCCAATCTTCAGATTTCAGATATTGATTGTATTCAGACTCTGAATATGATGGTATTGAAACTTGCTGAAAGAACATAACTACAATTACAATTTGTACCAAAAACTACAATGAATGTTATGCTCCATACATTCCAATAAAATTGGAAATCTCACTAGACTGACAGCTCAACATAATTTCATAGTTGTAACAGTGTCTTAAATGATAAGGCAACACTTAAACTGCAATTTCCTTTATAATTTTAATATCAATCAGAATGTAAGTGACATTTATGAAGCAACACATTTAAGTTTAGTTTCAGCATTTTGGCCAAAGTCATAAATTAGAATAGATAACCTTATATCTCTAGCTTTAAATTACATACCTTATTAAATTGCGCAAATGGATATTCTTTACTTTCATCTGTTTTTCTTTTCCAATGATAGAAGACTGCATTATCTTTACGAGCTGGGTTTGTAAACGGAGCCCACACCCATTTCCTTACCTTTCTCATACCAAGCTTTGCTTTGGTTTGCTTGTAAGCTTTGCCTTTAATTAAACGTCATTATGTATAACATTTATAAGAATATAAACTGTTAAATAACAACTATCAATACATTAACATAAAGTTTTCTAGTTAAAGATGGTTTAAAGTACTATTTAATTCACCTATACATTTAACAAACTATGCTCTAGAGAAATTTCAGACACCATACTACTACATACCATAATTTTATTGATCAGGTTTTACATAACCTATTAGAAACTGAATACCAGTGCGCTTTTAATTAATAGATAATTTACAAATTATTTCATAGTGTAATTTACCTGTATCAGTTGGTAAAAGTGGAGGCAGATCTTTGTTGTCATTGTATAGTAATGCAAAAACCTCCCGATGCATTCCTTCAGGTCTACGAGCAGCTTTCGCCGTCACATACTTCTTTTTCATTTTATCACCATGAAGAATGCTATCTCTGGTGATTTCTGCAGTCCCAGGCTGTTCAATGTCTAATATATCAAGAATATCAGCCATTTTTGTTTAAATCTTAAGTATACTGGCTTCTTATCTTATACACTGATTTTGCTCTAAATTAAAATTAAGTTTGATTACTTAACGCTATCATTTGCAGGGAATTAACTTTAAAACTACGATAATTTTTTATCGAATTCGATGAATTGACAAATGAATATAGATGACTTTGACAGTTGTTGCTTGACGGCAGTTTACGTGATGACAAGATCAAAGAGTAAGTCCACAGTATACTTTTTATTTTGTCTGTGGTTTGGCAACTAAAGATATTTAAAATTGCGCGTAGTTTAATATTTATTTACAATTTTCTTAGCGTTAAATAAGTTTATATTATATACAAAATCATGCGGTATGATTATGCAAAACATTTTAAAGTTACATAAGACTTATAAAGCAAAAAGTTATAAAACTCTTAATAACGGTTTAACTAAGTTTTAGACTCAACATCATTTGTAGTTATCGCTTTTTAGAACACAATTTAGCCGATGTATGTAGAGGGTTAATTATAACACCTTTATGTCTAAAAATTCTGACTTGCTGATAAACATTTCAGTGCATCACATATTTCACTTACGTTATTTTTTCTAATACTCTTAAGGAAGTTAAGCTAAGTTCAATAAAATAGGAGTATTTGATGTAATATACTGGGTCATAGTATTCAATTGAGATGAAACGGCGGCGTCTAAGGAAAGTAGCCTTGGAAAACTAGTATCTATTACGAGAGGGCACCCCGATCTGTTCGAGAAGCCAACTTGACCCGGCCATTGTAGATTCTCAAGCCGCTGTAACTGACCTAAAATAACAATCTTCAAAGGAAAATTCGAATAGTGCTCTGTGCATTCTTATGTTAGGAGGGTATATATGGCCATTGAATATTTACTCATTATGCAAGTTTTCATAATAAAATGTAAAATTAAACTCTTATTTTTATTTTATTAACAATTATTTAAAATTATCCAAACGTCGTCATATCACGCAGAACAGCACTAAGCGCTTCTGGACTAGATTTCGGTGCCTGTAACCAAAATGTATTAAATGTTACCAATGGATTGCGAACTTCGTCATTTTATATTCTCACTAAGGAAAACATTATAAACCGGCACCAAACGAACCATATTTAAACAGTAATTAACGACTTTCTTATCATTACAGTCCATTTCAATTAAAAAATAATTTTAAAAATATTACCCTACCGCAAGGCTTGTATCGTGTATGTAACTTTGAATAATAGCAGCATTAATATATTTACAAATACCCGTATCGCACTTACGCTGTGACTTCCTGTATTGATCCAGAAGAATCTGAAGTTTCCATGAGCTTTGTAATATCCTTCGAGACGGTCGTTCACCCAGAGAGGTCGACGAGGGGAGTTTTTATATTGTTTAGCTCCTGCCCATTCAAGTCTATCAACCCATAGTATTTGTCCTGCAATATATTTATTTAGTTTAGGGCCTGTCCCACCCTGGTTATTAGAGTCTAAGATAACTTAAAAATGACGTCACTGTCAGATGAGGTAACAAAATCCGATATTTCGTCAAACATTTTACACGTTGAATTGTTATCAGACAATTTACAATTTGATGGGACCGGCCCTTAGACTTTTAAATCTGATGTCAAATCATGAATCAAAAAGATGTAAGCAGTAAAGTTTGTAGAATATTTAGTGAAATAATAATTCAGGAATTATAGATTATTTTTTCTCACCTGGAGTAGAACAGATTAGGTCCGCATTACCATTGTAAACCGTAAGTATAATGTCTGTTTCGTTTAGTAATTTTTCAACTGAAAATGAAACAAAACAGTGTATAAGTAAGCATTAGGAAATAGGATTTGTCCATACAAAGCTGTTATTAAATTTAAATATCCTCTAACGAATTTGCTTAAGAAAAAACTAAGACCTGAACAGTTCACAGTTTTGTAAGATTTATCTAAACGATTTGATAGACATCAGATAAAACTGAGCCTGTATAGCGTGCTTTAGGTATATTTAATTACCTTATGGATCTCTTTGCTATATTAGTACTTAACTTGCAGGATTGAAAAAACTTACTGCCATCAGTGACTGGTTTCATAAAGTCCCCGTTCTGAGCGTTGAAGACCGCATTTGATGATATCTGCCAGCGGACTCTTTCGGGGATTCTTAGTGCTTGCTTTACTCTCGTATTCATTAATATGTTAATATCCCATTCATCATTTGTGCTGCGATACTGAAGAGGTGAATCTCGTATCATCAATTCTCTTGCAGCCTCTAATAAAGTTTAGTTTTTAAATTAAAATATATTAAGTACTAGTTGTTCCTCACGACATCGCTCGCGTGAAATTAAAATAAATAGTAAAAACATAGCCTATGTTACTTAGCGATAACATAGCTTATTAATATTGCAAGAATATTTGAAATCGGTCTAGTAGTTTTTGAGTCATTCCAGTACATACAAAAATCCAAAACTACAAATCTTTCCTCTTTATAACATTAGTATAGATGTCTCGGCTAAAGGCAAAATTATTTAGAGACAAATTAAATGCGTACCATAAGCACTTTTCAGCGTGTCGGGAAGTGTCACATTTCTTGATGACAGAATATCGTAGAAATCGACACTAGTTGTGGCAGCAAACACTGCACGTTGCGTCTGCGCCCATTGGTTCGTTGCTGCGACGTAGGATCCTTCGTTGAACAGTTGCTCAGCTTTTCTAGCAGCTGCTTGAATACTCTCGTAGCCATCTTGGTCAACCAGACCGGCAGCTAACAGTAACGGGCCCCAAGTTAATGTAGCATCCACTGGAGATATCCATGCGTTACCCATGGCGATGCCTCGGAGATTTGACTTCAATGTACCCTCTTTCTCTGCCTGTAATATAAATGATAGCTTTGAAACTAATTTAACCATAAGGTTAGTAACTAATCATAAAGCTTATGATGCAATCAGGATTCAAATATCGTTTAAATTTTACATGGTTTTTATAGTTTTTTTTAAGGATATTAAGAATTCTCGTGAATGTTTTTTTTTAATTCTATTTACCTTGCGCATTTCAATGCCAATGTCGATAGCCATTTTGCCTCCATAGGACTGGCCGTAAATGTACACAGGAACTCCTTCGAATTCAGGATGGGAGTCATAGAATCCTCGCATTAGTTCCACAAAGTCTGTCGCTGTTGAACAGATAATTTTAAATTTTTACCATGGGTTTTCACTCACAATATATACAATTTAAAAAAATGTTATCTTTTTCCTTGTTTTTGGAAAAACAGATTTTTTGGTACAGATATGCAATAAAAATTCGGTAAGTTTTGTAAACAATATGTCTAATTTACCGATTTCCAAATTAGTTTTCGTCAAGTATTGTACATCATCAACATAACTGAATCCAGTACCCACAGGATTATCGACGAACATGACGTTGAAATTTTTAATCTGAAAAAAAAACAGTTTTTTTTTGTGTTAATTTCAAACTCGTTAGTCAGTAATCATTCCTCCAATATCTACCGTAATCATTTAAAGGATTAACTAAACAATCAGTTATAGCAATCATTGATCAATCAAAGATTAATATCACAGACGATTAGATTAAAGTACTTTCTTAACATAACCTAAATTAAAAAAAAATCCAAACATTTATGTTTATTTACAAAGCATCATTAGTGTACACATAGTAGTGTCTGCAGATTTTTTTATTACTAAAATGTAATATAAACACGTATAGATTAACAAATTCGTGTGAATTTTTACCTTTCCTCCTTCCCAGGTTGTTCATACACCAGGCAGGTGTAGAAGCTCTCTAACAATTAAATAGCGTAAACTTTTTTGTAAAGTTAAACTTTAGAAGGTAAGCGTAAACTTTAGAAGGTTCATGCCTTAAGTGTAACATGATTATTGTTTTTAAAACATACCCAAGTATAATTCCTGTCTTTTAGTGCCAGATCTTGTGGTCCAAGAATTTCGAAGTTGCCGATGCCAGTAGAAGAGCCGCCAGGTCCACCCTGCAGCCACACTATAATAGGGCGTTCCGTGTAATGTTGGACTGGAGCCGTTGTGTAGTACAGCCAGTAGAACATATGAGCCCCTTCACGTACAGTAACATAGTCAGATGCTTGCTTGTATGGTCCGAATTGAGCTGGAAATTAAAATTGTGTTTGTTTAGTCTATAAATTCCAAAACGTTCAATAATTTTCATTCAATACAGCATTGTTTCACACACATTGTTATGGTTTTAAACATAACTATTATGTTCATGGATAAACAAATTGTTATTTTGACACTAGATGGTGTTAGTAGCGAGTTAAAACACATTAACGAGAGATTGTGCGTTTACAAAATTTCAATGTTTAAGTATTTTTAGTAGTCTGGAAATACATAGTAGAGTGCAGTATAATTAAAATAACTTAAAAAAACCCTATTAAGTGACGTACCTTTTTTTATTAGCCATTTCTTTATTGATCGTAACGGTGTTTCATTTTTTCCAATTAAAATTGTTATGTACAAATATATCTTAATATAGGTCAACATATGGATATAAAGATATTCTTATAATAAGAGTTCTTTAAGGCAGTTAAGATCCCCTTTAAAATTACTAGATATTACATCTCTCATGCCTAAAACTGGGGAAATCAAAGGACTTATATTGTGAAATGTATTTGAAATGGCCTTTGTTCAAAAGTGCGTAGACAAAACGTGATAATGTCTCAAGAAATTTGTTTTAGTGGTGGCAATATTTGTGTTGATCAGTGCTTAGGCAAGTTTTTGAGTTATTTTTGTTCCAAATGATATTATATTCAATGCTTAATAAGAAGAAATCCTTAAACGTCACGACATTAAAGTTGACATGAGATTGTGCTACCAAATTTATGATAGCTTTATATTAATAATATGAATCCGTTTATTTATGTGTTCATTTTGCTTTGATATAAATTATACAGCTTTATTAGCTTGCGTTTATTAAGATTTCTTACAGTTACAGGGCACCAAATGTAAGAGAGTTCACTATTGACAGAGTTTCATAACATCACTGTTATGTGGCATATTGTAATAGAGTACCCACTAAATATTAGAATACAATTATTTAATTAATTTAAAACGAACACTGTTATCATCTTGAAATGTTTTAATTTAACACACTGGCTCAAAATAGAAACAAATTTTTGAGTGACTTGGAAAAAATAGTTGTTTTAAACTCGGTAAATATTTAGCTTTAACTAGTTTTTGTAAGAACGTTTTATATGTGATAGTGATATCCACTCACCTTCAGAGCAATGACTTACGAAAGCGGTTATTAAAAATATATAAAACAACATGTTTATATAATTGCTCAATCGAAACAAATGATTGTAAACGTCAGCCTTATTTATAAAATGATTTAGAATCAGTGAAATCTTGCAATCTTATGTATAACTTATTGATATCTGATTTCTTTGATACCATTATCTAGATAGTAATCATAATTAGAAAATATAATTATCAAAAACATCAAAGGCGAAAAATATCTTTTTTTTTTCAGATCATTCAGTATTTTTCATTGATTTAACAGATTAAGTGGTAAATAAGGTAAAATTGTTAACACGTCTAAATATTCATTGTTTTAATAAATAAAAAAAATACAGTACTGTCTTTACCGCTCAATTTCTTTTCTATCGCCTAACCTAAGATCCCTTTTTTTCCGTTAACCGTTAAGCATTAGTTTTCGATCTAAATAATAAATTAAAAACAATGAAATACTAGTCTAGTTATAGAGTCAGTTCAAAATAAACGCAAGAAATGTGTCACGATAATTATTTATATAAAAAACGTATAAGCAAATAAGCGGTATTAAACATGTGATAGACACGACCTTTTATTTCTGATTGAATCTATTTGATTATTGATATTGATAAATTAACAATACTTATCTGATATTACAGTTAATATATTTTGCAACTTTCCTTGCGATATGTTTCTCTTGAACACTGTTTAACAATGAAGAAGTGTATACTCGTTTGTATATCAGTGCTTACTATCCTAGTAGGTTTGGCAGAGAGTGAAAATTCATATGAAACAATCAGTAAGTCCACATTAACATATTAGTATTTTCTAGACAAGGCAAGAAAAGTGCTTAATTACATAATTTTATGTAATCGCTTTCAGTTATGGTTAGCTTGTGTACATTTATGGTCGTTTTTTCCTTTTTATAACCACGTAATGAGTACATTGCATACACAATAACAGAAGTATTTCTGTACTTCAAAGTCCTCGCTGGGTAATAATTTTATTAAATTCAAACATTTCATATCGATAAAGATAAATAAAAATTGTCTTTTATTCGAAATGCTGAAGAGTTTTAACAACTTGACTGTTTCTTACAGGGCTTAAAGGAAAAGGATTTAGCAATGTCGCACATACAGTTGCATTTACGAAGATATCAGGCGTAGGGGAACTTTTCTGGCTGTTCTGGCCGAGTCTTGCCGAATACTCCCCTAATCAACCTTTAATAGTGTGGCTAGATGGCGTTACAGGCGTCCCGCCAAGTCTTCGGGCTAATTTCGAAATGTTCGGACCGTTTGGGACTAATTTGAGAAGACAAGAATCATGGGTATGTTTTTTTTTATTCAGTAAATAATGTATTGTGTATACAAGCATTTAAAATCTCAACTTTTATATCCAACTTAATACCAACATTGGTATTAATTTCATTCTCTGTGGGAAAAAGATACAACGATATCAGTGTATGAGTGTTTCAATATTGCAAATTAACTTTTTTTTTTCTAGATTCAATACTTCAATTTGTTGTTAATCGATGCTCCAGTTGGCACTGGATATAGCAAAGCAGAAGACGAGAATAATATTTCTACTAACTTCGAGGATCATGGTATAGTATTTGTGAATGGATGTTTTTTTCTTCGAATTAATTCAGATCTAAGTATATTTATTTTTTCCAGTTGATAACTTAGTTACTATACTAAAATCGTTTTATGGGATACATGAGGAGTATTCTAATACACCAGTTTACATTTTCGGACAAGGACATGGGGCACAGCTAGCGGTTGCTTTAGCAGCTCGTCTTGCTCAGGTGAGTTAGTTTATTATCACCTCTAGAAAATTGTATTTAGTATGTCTAAAGCATTTTCATTTTTAAGAATATGAGTATCACTAATTATAAATTTAATGTTTTACCTTTCGCTGGCTTAATATCAAAGATTTAAATAAGACATATCTTGCTTTATTACATTTTTTAGTATAACTTCCACATTCAAGTCGATACAGTTCATTTACATTTCTCAAAACAATAAAACAACTTAAAAGAATCAAAATTTTTTGGAATACACTTTCGTAAAATTTTTTGATCTCCTGTATCCATGTTAGTACTTAAAATACAACACAAACAATCGCATTACAGAATAACCTATTCAATAACGTTGTAAAAGGAGTTGGTATTGGCAATGGAATAATATCACCGGCGCAAGCGTTGACCAAAATCGGTTTCTACCTTGAAGAGTTTGGAAAGATCGATGCTGACGGACGAAAGGTAGTTGAAAACTTTTCAGATGAAATAAATACACTTACTAATAATGGACGCTATGAAGAAGCTTTCGACTTATTTTTGTCAATAAAGAAAGTCGTTAACATAAACGCTGGTGCGGGTGGACTCAACTTAGATGACATCTCTGAGAAATTGACTCGTGATAAGTTACAAGGTGAGTTATCAAGTAGTTGTAATAAGAACTTTATTTATTTGATCATTGTACACAATCAGAAACGAGAACAAATACTAAAGAAGAAACGGCTTGTTCCACTGGTGAACTCTAAAGATTTCTCTAACAGCTGATCCTTCTGAGTCAAAGACAGAGAAAGTCTGGTGATTTGTTAAAATAAAATATTTTATTTCAGAATACTTCAACAGACGTCTTACAGCAGACCATTATAAGCTTATGGAAGAGACTGTTCCACCACTTATAGGGTTATCTGGCAAAGTAATATACGATGGACAACGTGACGCTGTTTTAAAAGCATTCAGGAATTCTTTAATGAAACCAGCAGTCGACAAGGGTATTTATTATTTTCTAATAATCTTATCTGTGTAACAGTCACTTATTCGACGAAATACAATAATGATTTGTGTTTCAGTGGAATATTTACTTCAGAACACAAACATCTCGGTGACCATTTATAATGGAAATTTAGATGCAATCTCTAATACACCAGGTATGTACTAAATTGTGTTTTACTTTTAGTTTTAATTTGTAATCTATAATTATACTAATATTGCATTGAAATAACTTCAATATTGGGCCTATTTTAAACATTCTTTCACCATTAGAAAGATAATTTATCTATGAGTAATATACGCTATAATTTTACACGGGCGAATTCACGAGCAACAGTTTGTTAATAAACTAATATTAGGTGCAATCTTTTTAAAGAGAAGATGGGTACTGATCAATAGATGGCGTTAGTTCAAATTAAAACTTTTCCAGGTCAATTATTGTGGGTTGACAATTTGCGTTGGTCTGGACAAAAGGATTTCTTGAATTATGTGAGAAAGCCATTTGTAAGAAGCCGTGGCCTTCAGGGTTATTACCGAAAGACGTCGCAGTTGCATTTCTACTGGATGAACTCCGTGGGACAATCGGTAATATTCATTTAATAGTTACATGCATTGGCATACATATTAAGCTTTAAATTAAAATTGAATTGTTTGAAAAGTTAATGGGATTTATTTGAATAAAGTTAGCATGGAAGTCTCATTTAAAATTTCGTTTTTGTCATTTTCTTTTCATTGTTTCACATGAATTATTTTTTACAGGTTCCGCTTGACGGTTACTATGGCATGACGAGAATTCTTCAAATAATTACTAACACTGTGTAATAAAAATAAGGAAATAAATCTATTTTATAAAAGTTAGTAACATATTTTTACGTTATTCCAGATATTATAGACCGTCAAGGATATCTGAACTGGTGGGCATAAGTTAAACTAAATAAATACATTATGACAGCTCACTAACGCTACCATATCAGTTTCAAAAATATGTCTCAAGATTTTTGTTGTATAGAATAGTCTTTACCTACGTCTAACGACATTTTACATGTTTTCTGTCAGAACCAACCGCGATAGCAGCGCCACTTAACGGCCCAGATATCCTTGTTTGACTATACAATATGACGTCATTGGTACGTAAGAATATTAAACCAGTTTTTTTGTACATATTTAAATTATAATCTACTTCCAAAAGGAGAACTGTAATACGTAGCCTCGCAAATATTAAACGAGTTTAATATCCTTGTAATTTCCCTATCAGATATCTCTTAGCAGACGTCAAGGAACCGGTTCAATGCGTAACCTACAAACATCACGTTTATTGAATTAATCCTCACGTGAAATTAACACCGGCTGACTGGAATTGTTAATGTTGGAGCTCTGCATGTAGGTGACTAACTATAACTAATAATTAAATGAAAAGTAAAATAGGTTTAGGGATCCTGTTTATCTTTGCTTACACTGGGGTAACTCCATCTTTGTGACATTATCCTAAACATCGTGAAAGTTGAGATGGATGGATGCATTTTTATTAGAGTTTGTACCCTAAACTGCTTGACGAATCTCGATAACATTTGGCATAGATGTAGCGGATAGTCTGAAAGAACACACAGACTACTCACTTTTATTTTTTTTATTCTACGCGGACGGAGTGGCGGGCGAAAGCTAGTAATCTATATATGTAAAAGAGGAAACTGACTGACAGATAGACTGATATATCAATACACGGCCTAATCTACAGATCCCAGAGACTTACAATTGTGCACATAGATTTCTGTCACTACGTAGGCAAGCAATAAGTACGGAAGGTTCAAAATGACGGTTCCAAAGTTTGTACATATATGATAAAGATCTTTGAAATTCATAAAGTAAAAAAAATAAACTTTGAAAAATCGCCTATTGAATGTTAACAAACATTTAGATTGTATTTCATCTACAATATAATAAACCTGATAACAAAATTATGTCTAAAACCTATAACTATGCTGACAACAGTTTCTTAGTAAACTCGCTGAAGATTTCCCGAGACCTTAGGCAATAAAGATGTTCTACAAAAGGCTATTTATAAGATAGCTCTAGCGCTCTTAGGGCTCAAATTTAATTTACATAATTATTTTTCGTTCGTTAAGAAATTCGTTTTAACCGGATTTAGTCTCTCGAAGTTTCAAAGGGTTACCTTTTGTAATGCTGAATCAGTTTAATAGTTATTTAGTGTCAGACTGTTTTCCTAAACGAATTTATGAAATGTACAAATAATACTTGCTGGTAAATGTTCGTCTGTGTTTTAACATTTTTGTATATTTATAAATTTCATCAAGATCCATTCACCCATTTAAGCTATAAAATCTAACAAACATCCATTTATCCATCTAAACTTTCGCTTTTATAATGTTAGTAAGATTGTAAAGATTTGAGATCCATTCGTTTGATAGTTACAAAGGCATATCTTTACAAATATAACGTCGTTTGTATGAAAACACTCGTGTTACAGTGAAATGAAGATACAAAGTCCGCACGTGACAGTACAGTGAACACTCCTTAAGAAAACCCTTCTATTGGAACAAATTACGTCCGTCTTCAAATAGGGTGTAAGTGGGATATCTAAAATAGGTTACTTTTGCCTCTTTCATCTGTCACATTGCCTCACTTTGAGATTTTCTCAGCTCTTGGGGGATTTACTAAAAGCCCTTCAATAAACAAAATTGTAGACTCGATATACCTGCTTTTGTACACCGTGTTGGGTAAAGTAATTTTGATTGCAGACAAAAGAATTCTATGGAACAAGATGCAGACACATGATGAATACTAAAATGGACTCAAATGTAGTTTTTAAGTGGAATAGTATTTTTAGTTTAACTTTTACCAGAAGCAATTTATAGCTCTTAATATATTTTACCAGACTTTGTTTCACTTCCATTTTTTATCACCACAAACTGTATAATAATTATAAGTACTTACGTATAATAAATATGCAATGTAAACATAAGCCCTGATTATATTATTCTACAAACGTCGTGACACGAGGTTTTTCTGAAATATAATGACAGCGACACAAAACGGGTTTGGACTTTAAAACTCATTTTATTTTTAACTTTTTTAGAGGACATACTTATTTATGAATGTCCTTATCAATAATGTTTTTTCTGGACAAGGATAATGTGCAATTATACAGATTTTAATGTCATCACCTTGTCTTATCTGTTTATTTTGATTATTTATTAACTGAACATCGGTAGACCAAAGGTTGATGATGATGATGATGATGATGGTGATGGTGATGATGATGATAAAAATCGTATGAGCTTTTATATTTCCTATGGATGAAAAACACAAATATTTCCTCACAATATTGACATAGTTAAACGGTCACACGTTAGCAAGAAAATAAAAACCACAGGTTTGTTAACAAATATTTAACTAATCTATCGAATAGATGAAAATTTGTCATGCGATAATTGTTTGAAGAAAAGATTATCAAGTATTATGTTGTGATTAGCGTCCAGTCACATGAAGCGATAGACCATAGTTCATTCGACTCTGACGACATTAAACACTTCGACGTGATTTATTTATTACAACCATATTGTTACATCATATCATTCGGAAATATTTACTTTAAGTTTGGTTTTGTTTCCGGTGTTATTTCCTATGAAGATGAAGAATCGGAAATTTTAGAGAAGTTAGGGCCCGTCTCACCAAATTGTAAATTGTCTAATAACAATCCAACATGTGAAATATGTGATGGTAATATCGGTCTTTGTTCCCTTATCTGACAGTGACGTCATTTTTAAGCTGAGTCTCTATCAGCCAGTGGTGGGATAGGCCCTAAGTCTCATAGAACAGTCACGTCTTGAATATCTTTCTTAAGGTTATCCTTAAGGAAGTGTGACCTTCATTCAGATAGAGGACAAACAGAGAAAAATTCTTTTCCCAACAATTTCTTCCCGTTGCCATCTTCCTTCACTTCAGTCTAGAATGAAATAGGGGAAGTCCCTAAAACCTACTTCATTCTAGTGTTTATTGTTTGTCATCTACTATGTATAAATCTTAAAGAAGAGTCATTAAATTACTAAAGTTATGCATTGCTGTGTCTCTTATATGTGATTAACATGTGTGTCAAACATTCACTTCTAATTGTTACATTAGTCACGCGGTACTCTTTAGTGATTTTAATTTCTTGTTTATGTCTTTGTAAAAATCTATTATTGTATACTAAAAAAAGATTTACTTGTATTTAATACGTAGAAAGTAGTCGATCCAGAGAAAGTATCTTAGTCTGATTTGTCCTGTAACCCTGAGAACTAGTAATGCTAAGTACTGAAATGTATCACTTTCTGTACTTAGTGTATTTTTTTATAAAATGTTAAATGTTGCCCGCGACATCGTGTGCGCAGTAAAAGAAAAAAACTACGTGTCCCTCGGGAATCTGCCATTTTTAAGGATGAAACGTGTGATAGCTTGCTAATTTTCGCATTTTCTGTAATCATTCAAGGTTCACAACAGGCGAATGCCGGGAATCTTAATAAAATTATCTATTTATTGGCAATATCAATTTTTAACTGATAATAAACATCAAGCTATATTTATGTGGTTAAAAGTACCACACCAGTTATTTATTTAACAACAATGAGGTGGAAACAGATGGATGGTATACGTAATAACACCCATACAAAGCTAATGAATGCATTTTATATGAACATTTAATTTTTCAAGCATGTTGCTATTTTGTTTTATTTCACGCTGATACGAGTATCTTTCTCCTAGTTCGCTTACATAGTTATAGTTAAAACTATAATAATTAAGACTAGGCTTATATAAAAATTAGCATTTGAAACATAAATTCATTTGATTGCTATGTAAAAGTATTAAAGCAATATAAATCTAAGGGCCTGTCCCACTGCCTGATAGAGGCTCAAATATCTTAAAATGGCATCACTGTCAGATAAGGGAACAAAATCCGATATTTTAATCATATATTTTATACGTTGGATTGTTATCAGACAATTAACAATTTAGTGGGACAGGCCCTAAGTAAAAATTTTTACATAAAAAATCTAGAAACGCTTAAAATACCATATCAGAATCGAACCCGCGACATTTTCGAATATCGCACTATTTCGTGTGGTAAAATAAACATACTTTTTTCTAAACTACATAGTAATTCGCGATGTGTCCTCGACAAATTTTCAAGATCCAATCACAATGCGCTAGCAAATATTTACTACCCTCGACCCATTTACATCGAGTCTCCTTCAATTTTATATCTTCATTGACTACATGTTAGCGAAATACTTCTAACAGTTTGGTGAATAAAAAAATAAATAACACAATATGATTGACAAGTACTTAACACGATATGGATTATCATAGCTCACATGACTTTTGTAAACGTTCCTTTTTTATTTATTTTTTTCTTTCGGTTGTCAATAATTAAAAGATCTGTGTGGCCAGGTCGAGTCTGCATTCGATGCCGGCAGTCGGTATCGCCGGTGTGTCGTTTCGCTCCGTAAAGTTACGTTTTCCTTACGATTATTTTTTCTTATTGTTACTTTTTTCTTCTGTTTAAGTTTTATGTAATTATATCAACAATACTGGACGTTTAGTTATCGAACTTGCTTGTTTGTGTTAAAAGTGCTTTTAGTTTGAAGATATTTCACAATGACAATTATATCACCGGCTTTTCTCAAGCAGGTTTGTTTATCTTTTTAATTTATGTTTTAATTATTTTTTTCTTTATATTTATTTATTTGTAAATTCTTAGCGGATGCCTATTTTTCTAATTAAAAATAATAGCAACTAAACAAAAATACTTGCTTCAGATTTTAAGTCAATTCTTATTAAGAACTGACGGCTAATTTAGTCTACGATACATTTTAAAAATTATATCTTAAATGCATTGAAAATAAACAATCATTGTTGATATCGATTAATTCATATTGTTAAATCAATCGTGAACTCCGTTCTTTTATTAATACTGAAACAACAGTACAAAAGTCTCTTCCTATCTCTATATTTTCAAACAGAATGCGAGGGAAGACAACATGTTTTTGTACATCATTTTCAGCAGTGAAAACTCACGGTTATTATACTGTCGTGCAGTGTTTATAGTATCGAGTATGAACTCAAAGGTGTGTGACTGTAAACAAAGGAATTAACCGCGATTGGTAACATTTCGTTGTCATCTTTTTTGATTGGTTTAAAGAAATGTATTAAACATCATCATCACCATCATCATCATCATTCATCATCATTTATGTCATATTTTTATTTCACCAATATAATAAACAACGCGAAATTTTAACATTGATTTCATGAGCATGAACATGTATTCCGATACAGGATTAACTGGTAAGCTACAAATTGCTAAGTAGGTTTAACTAATGTATTAATTCTAGTAATTGTTTATTGAATTCCTGAAAATTAATGGATTTTAATTTTATTAGGACGTTGCGAATTGTTTTACTGATACGATTTTAAAATGAACAATCAAAAGTCATTATTTTAGCGGATAGCGTGAGAAAACATGTACAAGACACAGGAAAAAGAAGTATAAATTATTTATAAAGATTTAAATTTTCACATATTAAATACATTGCATTTAAATCATACTATGACTACGTTATACTAAATAATAATTAAATAATTTAAATTTAAAACTGAACTTTTAAAATATGCGTAAAACTAACAGACGTAAAATATTAGCTCGTAAGTTAACGATTTGACGTAATGTAAATTTGAGTTTAAATTTACCTAGATTTATCATATACTAGCTGTTGTCCGCGATTTCGTCCAAACAATACTAAGTTTAAAAAAGTAACTTATAATATACCCGCCTGTGTCTAGCCTTCAGTGAATGTCCGCAACAAATGCAACTTGCGGACAGACAGACAGACAGACAGAAATCTTTTAAAGGCGATTATCGTTATTAGCAACGCAAATACATCATCTTCCCGAAATCTGGAGTTTTTATCTTGATATTACAAACAGACAATCCAATTTTATTATATGTATAGATAGACTGATATAAATAGACGAAACTAACTAAATATATGTAAAATTACGCAAGGATCATTAGACTTGAATACGGCAAAATTATTTGTTCAGAACCATAATTTCTTTGCAAATGACACGTTCAACACAATTATATAAATCATACCTCATTTGTATAAATCTCTTTAACTCAGGAGATGAACAGTTGTTAGAGTATTTTACAGTCATTTTGCTTATTTATATAGTAACACTAGCTATTCCCGTGCGATTTCATCAGCATAAAATTATTTTATTCCTTACATGTGTCAAATTGTCCATTGCAAATGTCAAAATGAGATAACATGACAAAACTTGGCAATCTTGCTTCCTTGATGGTGGTAGCAACTTATGGTCTCTTTCCCACATAAGGGTTTTTTATCCAAAATATTTACTCCCTAAATTTAATGGCGTGAAAATACATAGCATAAAGCGTAACGTAAGTATAGGGCTTTTTATTAAATAAAGAATTATTAAAAAATATGCTGTAATTACTGACATCTTAGGCAACAAAGAAGTGTGTGCTTACGCTTTATTATAATAGTATAGATTATTGAAACAAATTTCGCATTTTATTCACAGTTCTTGAGAGAATGTTATGGTAAATATTTAACTGATTTAGTTAATACACACATCTTTGAATATCTTTGAATATTTTCGCCGATGACTTTCGGTTAGTTACATCACGATGTTCTTCTTGATTCTAAGAACATCGGGTAATTGTCCATAATATGAAATTGGAAAATCGAAAAAGAATTTGATACGTGACGCAATTCGAATCCAAGACTTGCAGATTACAAGTCAAGTGCTTGACCCCTAAACCACATATCCTCTTAGTATTATAAATGAAGTAATATATAATTTTGAAATTATTAAAGTATAAATTGGAAAAAAAAATCGTCCACGTGAAATAAAACTTGTAGCCTATGTTACTCACTGACAACGTAGCTTTTTAATGGTAAGAGGATTATTGATTCTTGCCCAGTAGTTTTTGAGTTATTCTCAGAGTTATTTCAATGTATACAAAAAATACAATTATTTTCTCCTTTATAATATTAGTACAGATTCCATAGACGTATTTGTTAATATTTCTACGTATATTTATAAAGCAGAATTATAATACTGCACACGTGTATAAACATCACACAGTGTCAAGACAATATGATTATAAATAAAGTTATAGAGAACACCTGTCTGTATAAGTATTAAGATTCAGTATAAACGTAGGTGTTCACTGTATTTAGATAGTTGCAGGCAGAGTCCCCAGTCCCCACATTTGAGAAGAATTCTATCAATCCTGAATACAATCAATTTGGAGTGACCGAACGTCTTTAACCTTCAAATATTTAACACCGATATGTTTATGGTTTGGTTACTCAAATATATGAGAAGCAAAAGGTTAGCGTGATATGAACATGTTATGCGACGAAATGATGGGGACATAAACCAGAAAGTGTTGAGATTGAATGTGGATGGCTACAAAGGAAGAGGAAGACCGAAGAAAGTATGGATAGATTGTCTGAAAGAAGATATGCTTAAGAAAGGAGTGGATTCAGATATGACGGCTGATAGAGATGTATGCAAGAGCAGCACATACTGTGCCGACCCGATAAGGGATAAGGGCAAGTGGATGATGATGATGACTCAAATATATCCAAAGTCTCTCTGAATAGTTAACTTTCTTGGTCACACGCTATATTTTGCAACCCCATGATTAACGAATTCCTATTCAATATTCCACTAGTCCACTCAACCAAAGTGTTAAGATTGTTTTGTATTGAAACAATGGTAATGTCAGTTCAATCTGTTCTTACAAAATGTAAACATAACATTTCATTTTTATTACATAACTTGGCTTGTATAAAACTCCAGTAGCGATTGAACGTTTGAGTAATTGAACTCCGCATGACTGTTTTTAATTTAACTAGGTAAATTGTATAGATTCAAATAGCATTTTATTATATATGCCCTAAATACATCTTTCACGTTCCATGTACAGATTTTCTTTAATTTTGCTTACTACTCGTATTCTGATATATGCTTATCTCAGGCACACTTTCTCATATCTTTGAGATGGCCACTCGATCCGAGATCAACTGATATCTGTGGTTGAAATAAGCTCGTCTCTATGACGTCGACTTGCTATCTCTTAAGTGTTTTTATTTTTAAATATTTTTTATACATTTATAAATAATTTGGGTTTGAGAAACTTTACGCTCTGTCACTTGCGATTGTTCACTTAAGGTTCTTTTTTAATTGGTATTGTCATGGTCACTAATTATTTATTCTGTAATCAGAAACTGATGTTAGTTTTGCTCAAATAAACAATTAAATATGTCGTATGATTGTAAATATGTTTGTAAAAAACCAACAAACTGCGATGTATCACAATCACGTAGTTTTTTGTTAGTTTTGTGAGAGTTTTTTAATAAAATCTACGGCGTAGTGTCCGTTCAGAGTTTTATATGAAAAAAAAGTCGTGACCCGCTCTGTTAGTTTGGAATTTCTGTCAAATAGTAAATCTGAACACGTAGAAACAACTTTCGAGTATGCGAGTAAATGTTGATATGAAAGATTTTTTTTTATTGAATTACAATGAAAACATTTTATTTTATGTACACTTTAACACAATTTCTTATATTCATTTTCTTTTATTCTTTTTATACAATAATTTGTACGACACATTAAAATAATCCAACTCAATGATTGTGCAAATCTATGGTATAACAATATTGACATTTTGTGGAATATTCTCGTAAATTGCAAACCGATGGAATTTCAGTTTGACTTTACAAGATATCCTTAATTTATTTAAGACTAGCTGTTCCCGTGTGTCTTCATCCGCATGGAATTATAATAACCTTTTTTTTTCAATGTTGGCAGCTTGTAGTTTATGCTCCCTTTCCCACATCATAGTTATTTTACAATGTAAACATGTAACCTGAAGCGTGTAGTAAGTGTTAGGCTTTTTATTAA